TTATTTAATTTCACAACTTTGAAAAGGAATGTGTGAATAGCTATGAAATGATGACGAGATGATTTATGTGTTGCTTCCATTTTTTCTGAAATAAATGAATAAATATAATGTTTATAGGTTTTCATATCTTTTATGTTCTTAATAACGAATGGAATAGATCTTTCCACTTCGTCCTCCTTCGGAGCTGTTCTTTCATATGAAACATCAACGGTATCTTCAACAATGAAACCACAATCACATAAAATTTTATATGTACCAATTGTTTCTTTTGATATTTTATCTAATAAATCAAAAACTTTATCAACACACTGTCACCTGTACATTTATTTAAATAATAATTTGTGTAAATATCATGGTCTTCTTTCTTAATCGTATTTGTTGCATATGTTACATTTTTAGTGCTTTTTTGAATTTTTCAGAATCAAGAGGAGGTGAAAGTAATATACATGGATAATCTCCATCGTCAATAAACTGAAGCTTATGTTTATGAATAAATTTTGTGCCTTCTTCTGAAAGTGTTTCGTCAATATCACCATCTAATAAATTTTTAGTTGATTCCAAAAAGTAATTTTTATATCTTTCCTCATGTGATTTTTGAACTTCTGATTCTGAAGCTGGGATATTCATTAAACCCTCTACTTCATTCTCATTATATTTTTCAACTTCTCTTAATTCCTTAATTTTTTCATTTATTTCATCTCTTATTTTTTTCAGTCTTTCAATTTCAATTTCATCATATTCATCTTGTTTAATTTTTTCTTCAAAATATTCAGGAGGTGTTTCAAGGCTCTCTGAGCCCAGGTCCTCTGGACCATAAAGAGGAATATTCTCCTGTTTTTCAACTTTTTTGGGATATAAATATCTCATTATAGCCTTTTTAGTAATTGGTCCGTTATATTTAAATTCATTCAACAATCTGGAAAACTCTTTCACATTCTGCATATATGTTGGATAAGAACCGTCTCCAAAATTTTCTAAAATATTTTCTAATTCTGAATTAGTGAACTTTAAAGATTTCAATGAATTAGTTGTTATACTCATTTATTATAAAATAAAAAATAAAAAAATAAATTTAACTTAGTTTTAATTTTACGTAAGAAGTCAATTTTTTAAATCTTGATTTATTCAAAAACGTAAGAATAAAAACTGTAAGAATCATACATTTTTTACTTCATATGTTAAAAAAAATGATACAAAATCGTTCAATATTGTATGAATTCTTACGTTTACAAAAAAAGTCACACAACCCTTCAACATATACTACTCATTATAGAATTTATTCAAGAATTACCTTTATATCAAATAGTATTTATTCAACAAATCCATACACATTATTACTGTGCTTCATATCTCAAGCATAAAGGGCACAATTTTGTTCGATATCTTTGTTTTCGAAGTATTTTCTCTGTTGATTTATAGTAAGTAAGGATTCCGGATGGCTAAAAAACCTCTGGCTATAGCCATTTCTCCAAAATGAACAATTTCTGATATTTGATCCATGGAAAATTATTTTTGAATTTTTTTTAGAAAGAATTATGACGCTGAAATTCTCTGAAGATTTTGAAACTTCTACAATAATCTTCACACAATGCGTCGAACGAGAAGGGGACTATCACTTAATGATACCAGAAGTTGTTTCTATGATTCAAAATATCGAAAAAACAGGTTCATTACCTCCAGAATACGGAGATGTTCAAAACAGATTCATAGACGAGGTTATTGTTGCAGCAATAACTCCCATTCTACAACTTTCTTACACTTCTGGAACAGAATTAAAAAATGATCTTTCTTTCTTCCAGGAATGCATGCGTTTCATCCCTTGGTGTATTAAGAATAACCACATAACAACAACCTTAAAGATCATTGAAATTCTTCATTCTCGTCACCATCAATAATACTCGATGCATTACTATCACACTTGACATTCATTTTTTATCAAATAATGCATCGGTTATTGTAAGAAACTAACCTTTCATATGAAATGAAATAAAACTTTGGAACAACGATTATTTTAGCTTGAATTTGTTGAAACCTGATTTATATAATAATTTTATTTCATTTTTGAACAGTTTCTCACTGATATCAAAATAACCAAAATCAAAAATTTACAGGCATGGCCTTTATTTACGACTATTCAATTTTGGCTCTTGAATAGCATTTTTTTTTCATTGACTGAATGTTTCATTAAGCATACATTTCTATTAGAAATAATACCAAATTTCATACACTATCAAAAAATACATAATTAATGTGTGTAAATCATAGATGCAATCTTCACAAACTTTCAATGATGATTTTCCAGATCTGTTGATGGATATGTATTACATATCTATTGAGAAACTTATATGCTTGGGGTCACAGAAATCGGCAAGGGGGTTTTCGAAAAAAAAAATTAGAATTAGAATTATATAGATTACTTGATTTGTTTCTATTTCAAGGGAAAAAATATGATCAATAAAAAATAACTTGAGTAATCATTTTAGGCTATGGCAATCAATCAGATTCCGATTGCTGACTCAGTTCCTCATCTGAAGTACTTGTTAATACATTGTACCACAGATGAGGAACAAAGACTCCAAAAGCTACTTAAGAGAGTCTCTGAATGTTCCCTTCAACAATGAACATCTTATTGCTGATTTTGTTGCTCAACTGAGTTTCTTGTTAAAACATTATTTCAAATATGAAGAAAGTATGAAAATTTTGGTCTATCATCTCTTCTTCAACTTGAATAGACGAAACTTCAAATATCGCCCAGACAGCAATACTATAAAAATTAGAAAATTTTTAAGAATTTCTGATTTTGAGAAAGCAAGCGAAAATTTTGAAAATTAGGCATAATATTATGAACGTTTTGATTAATCAACTTATAGATTGATTAAAAAATATTGAAATTGAGAAAGATATAGTTTATTTGAGTTTATTGTGTTTTGACACATGAATTAATAGGTTGGTGTAAGTATATATATTGTGAAAAGTTTGTCAGTGTATTAATATCTATCATACATGATGGCCTAATATGTATTGTAAGTATAAAGTCGTTACATGATATACATAATTAATTTTATGTGTATCTGATTTTGGGCTCGATTTTGGGGTACATGTTAATGAATTGTATCCCAAATGAGGAACAAAGGCTCAAATTGCTGTAATAAACAATTTTTGTAGAAATTTTATAAATGAATAAATTTAATTTTTTATTCGTATTTAAACTGCTTCGGCTGGATGGTTAGAGTCTGATTTCTTTTTAATGACAAAGAAGTATACACAAACTCCAATGACAATTCCTATCACAATTACAGCAACTATGACACCAATAATTATAGGTAAGCTGCCACTTCCTCCTTTACTCTCTGATGGAGAACTGGATGAACTTGAGCTTCCTGAAGTACCTGTAGACCCTGTAGAGCCAGTAGAGCCAGTTGAACTCGTTTTATCGGTTTTATCATCAGTTGGTGGAGGTGCTGTAACAGTTGCAAATAGCTTACTAGTGTATCCAGTAAATTCAGAAGTAATATCACCTTCATTCAGATAGTAATATGAACTAGGCTGTTCTGATTTATATTCAGCATATTGAGTGGGTTTAATAATAATTTTCTGAGTGTTCGCTATAGAAGAATGCAAGAAATTATAACTTGATTTAGGAGTACCTTGATATTTTGGTGTATAGGTAAACTGCGTAACATATTCTTCAACAAGGATAAGTGGCTGATTGCCTGGGTATGTAATATCTGATTCATCATTAATTGATACTTGATTTGTTCTAACTGAAATACCTATTGGACCTTTAATTGTAATAGTTGCTTGAGATCCTTTGATAATATAGTGACATACTTTAGAAGATTCGATAGTTATAGAACCAATCTGATTTTTTGAAATTATATATGTTCCATATTCTTCTGGGCAACCAAGCTTCGCGAAAGGTTCCGGAGATATCGTTGTTCCCGTTTCCGTATTCATCATGTTTATCAACTTATCTGATGCCAGTTTGGAGCTGCAAAACACGCTGAAGAAGGTCAGCATTAATTAAAAATGAAGTTAAGTCTTCAAATTTTTTTGAATGGTTGCTCCATTGATGGTCAGTTTTCTGACTTATATTTTGAATGATGATTTTATTCTTAATTTGTAATGATTTTTTTTCATTTTCGTTTATCATGGCTCTTCTGAGTATTAGTCAAAAAAAGTCAGACCAACCGTTTTTTAAAAGTCATAATTTTGAAAATTCTTTCCGATTTGATCCATGCCCATTTAAGGCAAAGATAGAGAGTTTTTCTTTAATTATATTTTCAAAAAAGTTCTGAAAATTTGAATGACCCTTTTTACCCCTATCTAAAGTCGCCCTATCGTTTTCCTGCCTCACTATTGAGTGGACCTTTATCAAAAATTTGAATAGGAAACTTTACGAATGGAAAGGAGTTTATTGAATTTTTTTTAACTAGATAAGAATTTGGGATATATGGAATCAGTCTGATGTGAAGCTGATGCATGGTTGTATTTCATGCAATTTAATAAATTTCTCCAACAAAATTTTATGAGCAATTATTGGGTTCAACATATATGTATATTAGTACTTTAGATCCTATCATATTTATTTTAGATTAAAAAAAAAAAAACATGAAATCCAATGATATGAAATTTTGTTATGAAAATCAAAAAACAATTTACTTTCTTAACATCGATTTTTGCTCTTCATGAGCAATTTTAATCATTTGATTTTCATAACAAAATTTCATATCATTATAGAATTTATTCAAGAATTACCTTTATATCAAATAGTATTTATTCAACAAATCCATACACATTATTACTGTGCTTCATATCTCAAGCATAAAGGGCACAATTTTGTTCGATATCTTTGTTTTCGAAGTATTTTCTCTGTTGATTTATAGTAAGTAAGGATTCCGGATGGCTAAAAACCTCTGGCTATAGCCATTTCTCCAAAATGAACAATTTCTGATATTTGATCCATGGAAAATTATTTTTGAATTTTTTTAGAAAGAATTATGACGCTGAAATTCTCTGAAGATTTTGAAACTTCTACAATAATCTTCACACAATGCGTCGAACGAGAAGGGGACTATCACTTAATGATACCAGAAGTTGTTTCTATGATTCAAAATATCGAAAAAACAGGTTCATTACCTCCAGAATACGGAGATGTTCAAAACAGATTCATAGACGAGGTTATTGTTGCAGCAATAACTCCCATTCTACAACTTTCTTACACTTCTGGAACAGAATTAAAAAATGATCTTTCTTTCTTCCAGGAATGCATGCGTTTCATCCCTTGGTGTATTAAGAATAACCACATAACAACAACCTTAAAGATCATTGAAATTCTTCATTCTCGTCAGCCTTTTTATACACCTTATTCAAATCACCCTCAATCATATGCAAAAGCAAAAGAAACATACAATAAAGTATTAAACGCATTCCTACAAGCAAATGTAGTTAATATTGTTCACGAAATGATGAAAAATGAAGAAAAAACATTTTATAATTACTCAATTTACTTCGCTTTGCTTTCATATGGACACACAGAAATTAACAAAACAATAAGGAGCTCAGAAATACAAGAAATTATTATGAAATTTTACGAATTCAGCAAATCAAGCAATATTCGCGAATTTGATCAGTTTCATCTCAAATTGATATTAGAAATAATTCAAAAATTAACAGATTGCTTGATTTACGATACAAATTTACAACTTACAGAAAATATTAATTTTTTAATTTATTTATTGAATCTAGATATATTAGACAAGCAATTAATAGCATCTCGTATATTAGCATCGTATTTCCAGGCATCTAATTATGACAGTTTACTAAAAGAACTGTTAAATAAATCAGATTTTTCAAATTTCATATTAAAACCAGAACTTCATGAGGAAGTATTAGAAATATTAGCACCAGTAATCATCAAAATAATGAATCCAGAGCTTCTCAAGTCTTTCTACGAGGTTGCAACGAAATCTCACGTAACAAGACAAAAAATCATGTTCAAGACCATTGAAACATCATTAGCAGTCATGGATACTGATGATTTAATGAAACTAATTGATATTTTCGACCTTTCTACGCTACATCCTTCACTTTTGGCCGGATTAGTTCCAACAATCGCTACAAAAGACAAAGATAAGGCCAAGAACATCATTTCTCAGATCCTTAATCTATCAGAAGATGGTGAAGAGGTTCTTTCCCATTTAAATCCAATATTAAAATGCGATAATCAAAATGTCAAAGAAATTTGCAAAGAATCAATAACAGAACACCTTGATAACCCATCAACAAGTCTTGTTAGTGTACTTAAGAGCTGCGTAACTGATAAAATCTTCGATGAATCGTTGATTCCTGTAATATTTAACCAAATTCTCAAAAATGGCAACCAGATGTACTTTTCTCTACTTACAATGTTATATGTTATATATGATAAACCAATTACTACTGAAACTGTCCAAGAACTCGCTCAACTTCGGCAATATCCAGGATTAGGAATGTCATTTGACAATTTGATCGACAAAAAAGGTAAAAAACCATTTGATAAAGACTCACTGATGGCCATATTCAACTTGTTTCGTGATGATGTCTCTTCTTACGACACAATTTCTTTATTACAAAAAATTGTTTTACTTTTTGAGTTGATTGACAAAAATATCACATCAATACAATATATAACTGATGATCCTGATCGAATTCCACGTCGTTACCAGCTTTCTCGCATTCCTTCCTTATTATCTGATTTAATTTCAATTTATTTCACTATTTATGACCAAACATATGCATCAATATTCGATACAAACATCAAAGACATTGTTTCCGCGATCCAAAACCTGAATATTGAAGAATATTCAAAAATATTATTTTCAAATCTGCAAAAATGTCAAGAAGAATACCAAAGACACAACATGTACACGCTAATTATAGAGTCTATTGATATATTTGATGCCGGATTCGATCCAGAAGATTTTAATTTAGTTCGAAACAAAAAAAATCCGAAAAATGACTGTATCTACTTCACTGTTCAAGGATTAGGTGTAAGCAAACAGTTCTATGAATCATGCTACATGCCACCAACTGTTTTGAGGCAAAAAATACATTTTATTTTCCCAAATTTGGAAAATTTTTCAATTTTGAATTCAAATTTCAACATTTTTGCCTTCAAATCTCTGTTGGAAGCTGGTGTAAAGAATGGAGATAAACTTACTTTAACTAGTTCTTCATTGCCTTATTTCAAAAACACAACAACAATCTTTAAATATTTGTTTGATCATAAAATCACTTCACTTTTAATTCAATCTCTAAAAAGTGACATCAGTGGCTTCAGTTCATTAAAATTATTGAAGAGGTTACCAGATGACAAAGATGTTTTGAAGAATAATGATATAAAGGGGATGTCAGAAAGAGAGATAATTTATTACATTTCGGTTTTGAAAAAAGAAAAATTGTCAGATGAAATTTACTCAAATTTAAGTGAAATTTTTATGACATCGGGATCGAAAATAGAGAAGTATTTGACTAAGATGTTTTTGTTGGATTTCAGACCAAAGTTAATTAATTTCAAAGCTTCGGATTTAATTAATTTTTTGGATAAAAATTCTGAAATAATAAATTTGTTTGCGAAATTAATAGAATTTGATGAAAATTTAATAGAGAAAAGACATCAACTTCTTACTGTTTTGGAACAGGCTGATTCTTCAACAGCGTCTGAATTAAGTAGAATTTATTCTACAATTAAAAATTCTGAAAAATTCGTTGACGAAATTTCAGAAAATTTGACAAAAAATTTTTTGTTTTTAATTTTGTCAATTGTTAATCAGACAAAATCATCTGATATTCTAGAACAAATATTAGATAAAATACAACATTCGCTTGCGAAAAATGAGAATGTTGTACAAATAATTGCAAAAATTATTGAAAAAGACAAAAATTTGATCAAAAAATTGACAAAAACAAATAAAGATCAAATTTTCTCAATTGCATTAAGTTGCAGTGACCAAAACCAATATTCAGCTGTTAACATAATCAAAGAAATTGGTTGTGAAGGTTATGAAAATCAACTTTCTAAGTTTTATTCAAATAAAATCCAAAATTGGTCATTTTCTCCAATTTCTCCAAATAAAACTGTTCCTGGAGTCGGTCTAAAGAACTTAGGAATGACTTGTTACATGAATTCTGTAATGCAACAATTATTCGCTCTATCGTCATTTGTCAAAACCGTTTTTGATACAGAAAATTCTTTAGAAAGTTTGAAACAATTATTTTCTGACATGTCAGAAGAAAAACTTCCTTATGCTGATATGAGTGACTTTGTAAATGAATGGAAATGGGGAACGCAGAAAGTGAATTGTTTTGAGCAACAAGACGCTTTGGAATTTCTTTCCATGTTTTTAGATTCGATGCCAAAAAATTCTTCTCAGTTTTTCATTGGTGAATACGAAAATGTTTTAACTGATGACAAAGGAGAAATCATATCTAAAAACATAGAAAATTTCGATTCAATAGAAGTCGAAATCAAGAATACAATTGAGGATTCAATGACGAGTTCTTCTGTTTTCCCAGACTATAAAATTGACGACAAAACAGTTACAGTTACGAAAACAACAAAAGTCAAGAAATTCCCTGAAGTTTTAGTCATCCAATTAAAGAGATTTGATTACAATCTAAGAACATTTGAAAAGATCAAGGTCAATACACAATTCAAATATCCAAATTCTTTAAATTTGAAGAATATCGAAGGTGAAGTGACCAATTATAATTTAACAGGAATTGTTGCTCATGCAGGAAATGCTGTTGGTGGACATTATATTTCTTTTATAAAATACCAAGAAAATAAATGGAAAATATTTGATGATACTGATACAAGGATTGCTCGCACACAAGATATGTATAATTTATATGGAACATCAAGTGCAGACCAATATACTCCAAATGCTTACATTTTGTTCTATACAAAGAAAGATGAAAAAATTTATCAAAAATTAGAAATCCCTCAAAAATACAAAAAAGCTTCAAATGAAAAAATCCAAAATTTGTCAGAAATAAGTGCATTGTATACGAGGAATAGCTATGAGTTATCTATCATTTCCAATCATTTACTTGATTTCTATTTCAATGTTTACATGCATTCGACAATGTCAAATTTAGAAAAACAAATAATTGACAGTTTGTCAGATATTGACAATTTATTTGACAAATTAATGGAAAGAGAAGAAGATGTTTTGTATTGTTTAGCTAATTGTCCTAACTACGAAATACTTAATTCATTGCATGCGATATTGAAAATGAATTCTTTGAGTTTCACTCGAGATTTTGTTAATCATTTATTAATTTTGATTGAAAATTCGGGCCAAAATTGGAGAATTGTAAATTCAATCTGCTCCGTTTTGGCTCATTATATTCTTTGTCATCCGAACCAAAATGACTTCATTTATAGATCTCTTTGCGGTTATTTATTGCGGTTTTATGACAAACCGTCAACTTCTTTGAATGTTGTCAATTTTTCACCTTTATTTAATTTGTTTACTTTTGAAAAATACCCTGAAGTTAAAGAAACAATCAAAGCTATTTCAAACAAAGTGATACAGAATGAGAACCACAAATCACAGTTTGAAACAGTTCTTGCTTATTACGCAGACATTGAAACATTGCCACAAATCATTGTCCAAGCGAGATCTGATCCAAATACTCAGGCAATGCTGATTAAGATCATTTTCAATGTTTTGCAAAATGTTCATACAACGAAAGAACAACTTAAGAAAATGTTTGATACTGTTTTCATCATGAAAGAAGGATATTCTTCAGTAGTTTTAAAGAAAATTGTTGTTGCAATGATTATGAAATCATTAGAAAAAGAAAATTTCCTTGATTTGATTACTGATAATTTAGAATTTATTTTGACACCGATTTTATGTCATTTGAATTTGAATACGACCAAGAAATTGGCAGAAACTCTTTCTTATTTCATTGTTCCTTCCGCTTGTATTCCTCCTTTCAAAGAAGCTCAAACTGCTTGCCAATTCTCTTCTGATTCAATTAAAAGGTATACTATTGATGAATACATGAAGTCTTACGTTCCTTCTCAAAACAAAAAAGAAAAAATTACACCAAAAGTTTCGGATTTCACACAGGATGAATTGAGAAGAGCAAATAAATTGAAAGATTTTGTTGTCACTTTTGTAAAAAGTGTCATTGAAAAACCGATCAAACTTTCTATAAGAACTGGTAATTATTTGCAACATCCTATTATTATTGTACAAAGAATTGCATATTTCTGTGGTCAAATCCTTGGTTTTGAGTTCATCAAACCATTTATTCTTCCTCTTTTTGAAAAATTTTTGCCGAAAAACAAAAACGAAGAATTTTTACCTTGTTCAAGTTTAGGATCTTTGATGTCTATGTGCGAAATATACTTAGATCAATATGTTGATTTCATTGCTTCTATTGAGAAAATCGATCCTTCAACGTTGAGACATTTGAAGAATTTCATTTGTAACTTGAAAGATGATGATTTGAAATTATTTGTTGAAAACAAAAATTCAATAAAAGTTATGACAGAAATGGCCAAATCAACAGAAGGTTCTGTTCATAAAGGAATATTCCAGATAGTTACAAAAGCTTTATTCGTAACAGATAACAAACTTTTCTTCGATGCTTGTGTTCCTGACATGTCAAATAATGTCATGAAACTTATTCCGATGCCAAAAATTTTGACAATAATTGACAGATTGATTCCATTTATTTCTGAAGAAACGAAGATGGCTGTATTTAGATATACTATAGAGAAAATGATCTTCATTGCTTCTCAGACACAAAGAGTTGATGAAGAGAAGTTAAATGAAACAATTTCCATTGCAAATATCATTGGACAATTCATAGAAAATCCTGTCTTAAGTGAAGAAGAAATCCAGAAAATTGTTGAATTTCCAAATCCTGCGAGTGTTTCTTTGATTCTAAAGAACACAAATCAAATAGAAGAATTGCAAAAGACAGAAAAAGGAATATACATTTCTATTTTAGCTCTTTTCCTTTCAGAAAGAATCGAAATGGCCATGAAATATGAATCTTCTGTTGAGTTTTGGAAAGCAGCAATGATTTCTCCAAAACCTGTCTTAGTTTATATAACAAAAGAACGCTTTGTAAAAACACCTTTGTCATCTAGGATAAAGACAAATGCTTTTACAAAGGGAATCAAGATGTTGGATGAAGAAAATGTTGTTGAATTGTTTGGTCTAATGACTGCAGAAATATTTGAAGATGATGTTGACGAAAAAGAAGTTTTAAAGAAATTAGAATTGATTGTGAATTGTAGACCTGAACTGAAAGAATCATTTATTGGTCTTCTTCCTCTTTCTAAAGAAGATTTAATTGAGAAAAATGCACGATCTTTAATTAATGCACTTGATTTGAATTGAAAATCATTATTTTATTATTGTTTGTTTTAAAATTATATTTTTTCTTTAATCAATACTCTTTATTTCTTTCCATTTATAAGAAAAAAAATTGAATAATATAAAAATATTAAAATTAATTTCTTACGAATAGGAAAAAGAAACCGATTTAACATACAAATGTCAAATGTTGATGCAAAATCATTAAAAGTAAGTAAATGCATTTTTGATGACTGCAGATTCAAGGAAAAGCTATTTGGTGATATGTCCTCTGGCGGAGCCTTATTTGTATTTATGAATGACGAAGTCAAAATTGAAAGATCGTGTTTTATCGAATGCCATGCAGACGATGTAGATTGTATAATTATAAATGCAATGGTTAATCAACCATTTATAAAATTCAACTCAAGCTATTTTTACTTTGGCAAAATACATGATCCACTTCAGATTAGTACAAAATCCGAATTCATTTGTAATAGTCTAAACTGCTCAAATATGATTTCAATTGATGAAAATTTATTTGAAATTTCAAATATAAAATTTTCATATTTTTTGGAAATGAATTGCAGATTTCATTTAGAAAATGTTGATTCATGTGTGTTTGAAAAGTGTAATTGTTCAAAGTTTAATGCAAAGTTGATTACATGTTGTTCATTTATTGATTTTATAAATGAAGATTGTGTTTTCAATATTACAATTGATCCATCGAAACCTTTGTATTCAGATAAGAACATATCAAGTCTAATGAATTCAATCGTTGTAACGAAAGATGTTCCTGTTCCGAAGATCGAAGAAACACTTTGTCCTGTATTAAACATTTAGGAAAAATGTAAGTAATGTTAAACCAAACAAATCAATGAATTACATATATTTGCCTCCAGTTCTTGAAATCGTCGAATGTGAATTCAAAGACATCAGTGTCATTGCAGATAGTGGATCTGCAATCAATTTCGATCATCCTATGTATGAATTCCTTTCATATGATCCTAAGATCAAAATCGACAGCTGTCTTTTCTTGAACTGTGTTAGTGACTCATGTCCAGGTGCGGTTCGCATCAACTACACTCATGCACAAGTTTCTATCAACAAAATGTGTTCACTAAACTGTGGAGGAAATTACTATACAATATTTTGTATTTTAACCAATTCATCTGCTCACATCAACGCATCAACAATATTTTCAACACATGATACTATAACGCAATACGAACGCTATGCTTCAGGTATTAACCCTCTTCCAAAATATATTGGTAATTACAGTATTTCTTTTTTGAATGGGCTCAATCATACACATGGAAAGTATTTCACAGCACCTCATGATGGATTAGGAGTTAATGTTTCTTATTCTCATTTTGAAAACTTATCATCACTATCATTTCTTGGAATTGATAATTCAAATATTCTGAAATGTAATTTCATTGAAGTGACATGCGATATAACATATGGAATCAATTTAAATTATATTTTCTATGAGTGTGTATTTGATAAAACAAATATAATCGACAATTTCGAGTATCGTTTCAAATCGCCAATTGAAAAAATCAATGAAACATTTATAAATTGTTATATCAAGAAATATAACGAGACATTTGATGGCAAAATTATTTCTTTAGATTTATATTTGAACAACAAATGTAACTTCCCAATTGATAGAAAAGATAGAACCCTATTGATTATTAGTTTGGTTGTTGCCTCAGCTACTTTATTAATTCTTTCATCAGTTCTCATTACATTCTTCATATATAGAAGAAAACAAAATGTTATTGATGCGCGCCATACCCTAGAACAGAACTTGTTAAATGACTTTGGATAAAATTCCTTATTAAATAATTCCTAATAGTTTATTCGGAAATATTGAAGTACTAGTAAGTCTTTGACTCGCAATGCATTTTTTAACAGATATATTTTCTTGAAATGTATTAGTGACTCGTTTCAATGTGTATTTTAAATCAACTACACTCATGAACTTAACTGAAGTGGTATCTGCCACACTGTTTATTGCACTTTTATAAACATGCAACTTATTTAATTTCCTATTTTTATATTGATGAAAAACTATCAATTCAAAATTGTTCCTAAACCATTGTGTTTAATCATTCATATGAAAAATATTTCATACAATCAAAATCTTTAAATTAAGCTACAGTTTATTATTTCTATTTTGAAATTTTACTGATTCGAAATTCAAAATTATATAATTGAAAATTATAAAACTGGAAACATCTCATTAGCAGATGATTAATCAACAGGTTCAAGTTAATGATACTGCATTTGTATTTATTGTAGTTCTAACAACTTAATACATTTATGGTAATCATAAAAGAGTTATAGAAATGCGCAATTCCAGGAATTTTACTCTATTACATATCCAGAGTATTATCTTGGTTATATTGAAGTTATTAATAAGAGTTGTGAATCAAATTTAATTTATGAAGAAATAGAAAACAATACAAAAGCACAATGTGATAATCAACAGATGCTTATTAATGAAGGTCATAGAAAGAAAGGATCGCTATATAACATCGAAATCGGATTGATTGTTATGGGTCTTTTGTTTATTGGAACTGTTATCTGTCTTCTTTACACTATTTATGCATATATGAAGCGAAATGATAAAGAAGATTCTGAAACAGTTCATGAGATGGAAGTTGAAGAAGTCAAAACAGCTAACTCTAATGAAATTGAAGGTGTCACATATGACAATCCATTATTTACACGTGGCAACTGGAATGATGATCCATTCAAAGACGATTTTGAAGAATATGATAATAACGAAATTTGCTTTTCTTTGTATTTATACTTTGTATCCATATTATAAATCCATAAAAAATGATATACAATATATATATCATATTTATTTCTTTAATTTTAATCATGATTATCAACATTTTCTGTTGATTTGTGCAAAAGAATTTGGTAATAAATTATTACAGAAATAGCTGTGACACAGAGAATAATAAATATGATAAGGGCTGCTAGTTCTGCTTTGTATTTTCCGCTTTGCTTATAAACCGTTTCTCCATTCAATGAAAATGAATTATCATTGACATCACAACTGCTTTCATTCGTCTCATTATATGTTATATTTTCTTCAATGATGGAACACTCTCCTTTTATTGCTTGTAAATAAAATTCTTCCTCAGCATAATTGTAAAAATTGTTTGCAAAAAGCTTTGGTAAAGAGATTTCTATATCATCAAATGGATCCTCTCTATATATAATAGGGGCTTCAATACTAGTAGCCTTAACTGCTAATGGTCTATCTTCTCCAAAATCCCAAAATGAAATTGATTTGTAACCTTCTTTACAAAAACTTGTTTCATATCTTATACCATAAAAATTACTTTGTTCCCACCAGTTACGGAAAAACTCGTTATTGAAAGAACTATCAAGTGATTCTGGTAAAATAATAAGTTTTGTCTTTGAATATATAATATCTTCTAGGTATTCCCCATCAATATCTTGAACTGAATTACTAAATATAACTGATGATGACAAATTATTATAAATTGAAATTAAAACGTTTGAATTCTTCATAATAATTTCAGTTTCTGTGACATAATAAACTGGATGGTCTTCTGAAATAGTAATTACTAAATCATTGCATCCAATAAAAGCATTACTTTCTATTTTCGTAATTTTGTTTGTTGTTGTAAATCTTTTGAGTCCACTATATGCAAAACAATATATTGGAATAGAATTTAATTTATCATTAAATGATATTGATTCTAAACTTGTACAGTTCATGAAGCAAGTTATATCAAGACGAATAAAAGTAGATTTTTGGCCAATAGAAATTTCAGTAAGAGATGCACATCCTGCAAAGCAATATTCAGGAATAAAGTTTACATATGGCAGCTCAATTTTATGTAATTTTGAACAATTAATGAAACAACCAGGTTTGATGAAAATGATGTCTGAGCTATATATAACTTCCTTCAAATTGGAACATCCAAGAAATAATCCTTCACCAAATTCATGGATTTTCTTAGATTGAAAAGTAATTTTTTCAATATTAATGCAATACTGAAATCCATATTTTATTGTATCAACTGACTCTGGGATAATGATTTCTTTTTGTGAATTGATTGGAAGACACGAATATATAATTGAATGTGCTTTGTTATATAAAAGTGGATGATTATATGACAGATCTAGTTCATTATCAATTTCCACTTCTGATATGTTATATGCTCCTGCGAATATCGATAAATCCATGAAATAGCTGCTATTGATTGAAATCTTTTTGAGTTCATTACAGCCAGAAAATATTATTTTTCCAAGAGTTGTCCTATCTACATTAGGATAAAAGCGAGGACTTTCACTCATCTCTATGACAGTGGGTGAAGTTTCAATAGGCATAGAACGAGTAAGCTCTATGATCCTTTCCTCATAGCGATTAAGTTTGATTATAACATGTGCATCTTTAGCAATAATTACTTCTTCGATGTGAGTGTTAATAAAGGCATTATTACAAATTTCAACTTGATTCGAAAATGTAATTTTTCCTGAAAGTCCAGAATTTGCAAAAGCATGATCACCAATGTATCTGGCCTTTGAAGTATCAAAATTTGTTAGATTCTTGCATCCATAAAAACAATAATTTATAATTCTTACAGAATTTCTGAGATAAACTGTGTTCAAACTAGAATTTGCGAATACTGTTGATATATAATTAACATCCTCATCAAAACCTACTGTTTCAATATTCGGAAACATTTTTGAAAAATTAATTATTTGCGGTGTCCAATTGATTCTGGAAAATGTGATGGATTTAATTGTTCCAAAAATGTAATATGAATTTATTGTACCTGAAGTCATAATATTTAGATTTTTGAAGCCTCCATAAGTAATCGCTAAATAATAATCATATGAATTGAAAATATCACTTGATGCAATAGTAACAAGTGATCGTTGTTGATTAAATATCTGGTTGTAGTTCAATGATTGAATAAGTTTTTGCGCTGTTACAGCGGAAAGCATATTCCGTATAAAAATTTTTCTCAAAAAAAATGGAGAAAACCTGATATCCCATTCAATTGTTTGCATTTCCGATAATGCATATTTTGATAAAAATTGTTATATTGAATTTCATTCAAAAGTCTTGATTTGATAAAAGATGTCTTAAAAGAAATGCTGATACTTACAAAACTACGAAAAATAAAATTATAAAATTTGCCAACTATTCACAATATTCTAATAAATTGTTGATCAAATTTAATTTGTCCCAACTCAATTTCAAAATCATTAGCTCTCAAAATTAGCCGATGGTTCAGAAATTATTTTCGGATCAAATTATTTATGAATTTAACTTTGTAAGAGTAGTTTTATTAACTCATGAAATCCGATTTATTTTTGATGATAATTATATTTTGAAATAAACCGCTTAATAAAACTCGGGTTTATAGTAATGGTAGCACTATGACTGATCACAGAACATAATTTATATGGATCAAACCTAATAATTACATTAAGTTATGACATTTTCTAAATCCTCATTGTATGATATTTGTAATATTCAACTAGTTGTTATTATTTTATTTTCTTATCAAATGTCAGATTGGATAAAAGTTCAAGTTATGATATATCATAATATGCTTTATAAATTTCTGATTTTTAGCTTCATATCAATCAAATACAATTCAATTGAATTGAATTTCTTTGAATTGATATTTTTATGCTTTCTCGAGTTTTTTCCTTAAATTTATTAAATAAAAGACTCAATTTTGATTCATCATTAATTACACAGGACAATTTCTTGATTATTTCAGCAAATGATGATTTTTCAGGAAAATATTCGCAGGATAATCAAATTTATGATTTTATAACACGAAATTCTCTAAATAAAATTAGACTAACAAGTGGATTTAGCGAAATATATCAATTTTATGGTGTTCATATTGTTAAAATTTTCGATTTTTCCGATTCATTAGTTTCATATATACCTGAAAATATGTTTGTGGACACTATTAATCTCGAAGAAGTTATTTTGAATGAAAATATCAAAAGTATTGATGGATATGCATTCGGAAACTCAGAAATTTCGAAAATTAACCTCGAACACGTTAAAACTATTGGAGCACATGCGTTTTCTAATTGTCAAAACCTTAAGAATGTTAATGTACAATCTGTTTCACGGTTTGAATATGGTTCGTTCAGAGAAACTGGTATAATTGAATTTACATTTCCAAAAAGTATTAATACAATTCAATATAATATGTTTGAAAACTGTCATTTATTAACAAAAGTGAATTTAAGCTCAACAATAACGACGATTGGTAAATTTGCATTTTCAAATTGTTATAATCTTGAAACTGTTGAAGGAATTTCACAATTAACCAGCATAGGAGCTAATGCTTTTGAATTTTGTTCATTGAAATATCTTAAATTTGAGAAAGATACAGTTACTTGTTTCTCAAATGCATTTGCAAACAATGCAAAATTGACATCAGTTGAATTTGTCTCAGTTTCTTTAGAAAAAGGAGTGTTCATGAATTGTATAAATCTTAAAACTGTAACAATTACAAATGAATATCGTCCCAATAATCAAAACCAATACAACTTTTATAATTGCATATTGTTAGAAAAATTTACTGCTGGAAGAGCTTATACAATCGGAATTTGTGATTTTGCAAATTGTAGGAAATTAGCAAATTTTGATGTTCAAAATATTCTGGAATTAGAAGAAGCATGTTTCAGAAATTGCCAGTCATTAACATCATTTAATCTTACAAATATGGATTATATCGGATCAGGAGCATTTCAAGGGTGTACTAAATTGAAAACAGTTTATGGATTGGAGAATCAAGCATCTGCAGGCCCTATTCAAATAGGTCCTATTGAAAGAGGTCCTATTGAAATAGTTGCAGAACCATATGTTTTCTCTGACTGTATTAGTTTAGAATTCAACCAAATTCATTATGCCAATACAGGGATGTTTTCGAATTGTTATTCTTTGAAAGAAATCAATTTTACTGGTCAAGTATTAGAGTCAAAAGCATTTCAATTCTGTATCAATCTGAAAAAATTTAATTTCATACCAGTAGAAGATTCTATTTTCTCAATTCCTGAATATTGTTTTTATGGCTGTGTTAATTTGGAAGAAATCAATTTCCCTGATAACATTCATTCTATTGGAAAATTTGCTTTCTATAATACATCTTTAATAAATGGAATAAATATCAATAAAGTCCAAAATCTAGGAGCATGTTCATTTGCATATTCAAAGCTAACATCAATAACATTTATTAGTCCAATAATATCGAAATATATGCATCGAATTGTTCATAATTTGCAAGATTTGCATATTTTTGATCATTGTGACATGCTAGAAAAAGTCATATTTGAGGGAAAAGGCTTTATTCCTCTCTTTGAATTTAAGAATTGCAAGAATTTGAATAAAATCGAGTTCAAAGGCGATTTTCAAATAAAGGATGATTTTGTATATGCCATTGAATATACTAATCGTTTGGTTGGAGGCATATCAGAAAACCCAATTATATTGTTATCGTATAATATATCTGCAAATACAGAAGGAGTCATTATTCCAGAAAAGTTCGATTCAATTTATTATTCAGCATTTAGATACGTCAACAATATTAAAACACTAAAAGTTAATTATGACTTACAAATTATGTCATATGCATTTGCAGATATGGAATCATTAGAAGAAGTTTATTTCAATGCATCAGAAATCCCTTTTGGATGCTTTTATAATTGTACAAAACTTTCGAAAGTAACTCTTTCTGAAAATGTTAAAATAATTGATGAAAACGCTTTCTCTTATACAAATATAAATGAAATTGTTTTGCCTCTTTCATTAGAATATATTGCTAATCCATTTAGAAATACACCAATAGTAACAATTGAATTTACAGATGGACAATTTCATCCCGACTTCTTTGCAACAAAGAATGAATTCATTAGAATTAATCATGATAAGAACGATGAAATGGAAATATTGTTTATATTTGGCAACATTTCAAATCAAATTACAAAATTAACTGAAGGAGTTAAAAGTCTTAACATGGAAAATTTCAGGTTCTTTTCTGATGATAAACCAATTTTAATGCTTCCGCATTCAATTGAGAGAATCGTAATATCAGATATTTCAGAACACTATTCAGGAAATTTGGGTAGTAGAAAATTGAATTTCCTGAATTCTAATACATTATTTGATACTTCAAATATTTATCCAAATTATGTTACGATTGGACGAATCCAATTCAGGTTTTGTGGAATAATCCATCTATAGAATTGATGAGAGATAAAATCTATGATGCAACTCCTCTTGGTTTAATAAGGCCAAATGATTATGTTGCTCCGCCAAAAATTGAATTTTACTCTATGACATATCCAGAGTATTATCTTGGTTATATTGAAGTTATTAATAAGAGTTGTGAATCAAATTTAATTTATGAAGAAATAGAAAACAATACAAAAGCACAATGTGATAATCAACAGATGCTTATTAATGAAGGTCATAGAAAGAAAGGATCGCTATATAACATCGAAATCGGATTGATTGTTATGGGTCTTTTGTTTATTGGAACTGTTATCTGTCTTCTTTACACTATTTATGCATATATGAAGCGAAATGATAAAGAAGATTCTGAAACAGTTCATGAGATGGAAGTTGAAGAAGTCAAAACAGCTAACTCTAATGAAATTGAAGGTGTCACATATGACAACCCATTATTTACACGTGGCAACTGGAATGATGATCCATTCAAAGACGATTTTGAAGAGAATGACAATAACGAAAAAGTAAATTACTTTTTGGGCAAAGATCTTGAAGAAGCATCTGATGGAAAAACTAATTGATTTTTTTTAATAAAAAGCTTATTGACAAACTAAATAATTTTAAAATTTTTATTACCCAGCCTTCAACAGTTTTTCGCAAATTTTCTGAGAAAAATTTCAATACTATATATTTTTATTATGCAAATACAATCTATAGTACATATTATTTATATATATAAAAGAAAAAAATCGTTTTAAGATCAAAAAAAATGAGATTGAAAATTTTATCGAAATTTTATTCGCTAAAAATGCTGAACTATGAGAATCTAACTTTCACGAAGAAGGCAAAAGTGTTATCAAAGTCTGCTCTATTTATTCAATGTATCTTCGCATCAATACATTCGGCCTCTTTGGGAGGAGCAATTCAAATGACAGATTATAAATCGGAAACACTAATAACAAGTGAATGCATATTTGATGATTGCTGTACTAGATTAAGTCATTTCGAAGATTCTTGTTGGGGAGGCGCTATTTTTGCATTTCTTAACAATAATTTTTTAGCAAAAAAATCATGCTTTGTGGAATGTCACTCCGATATCATTATAGATACAATTTTCATTCAGACAAGTAATGAATCAAAATTCAAATCAGAAGTTAATAATTGCTATTTCGATTTTGGAAAATGCGTTGCAACTCCAATTGGCATCTTGTATTCAAAAGAAAAACCTAAATACATTAATTTGAACTGTACATCATTAGAATTAGATCAAAAATTCAAATTAATTATGGAGAAAGTAAAATTTTCTTATTTTCTAAATATGGATTGTACGTTCGATTTAGAATTTGTTGATTCATGTGTGTTTGAAAAGTGCAATTGTTCAGAGTTTAATGCAAAATTGATCACATGTTGTTCATTTATTGATTTTATAAATGAAAATTGTGTTTTCAATATTACAATTGATCCATCGAAACCTTTGTATTCAGATAAGAACATATCAAGTCTAATGAATTCAATCGTTGTAACGAAAGATGTTCCTGTTCCGAAGATCGAAGAAACACTTTGTCCTGTATTAAACATTTAGGAAAAATGTAAGTAATGTTAAACCAAACAAATCTATGAATTACATATATTTGCCTCCAGTTCTTGAAATCGTCGAATGTGAATTCAAAGACATCAGTGTCATTGCAGATAGTGGATCTGCAATCAATTTCGATCATCCTATGTATGAATTCCTTTCATATGATCCTAAGATCAAAATCGACAGCTGTCTTTTCTTGAACTGTGTTAGTGACTCATGTCCAGGTGCGGTTCGCATCAACTACACTCATGCACAAGTTTCTATCAACAAAATGTGTTCACTAAACTGTGGAGGAAATTACTATACTGTTCTTCATATTCTTAACTATTCACCAATCCTTTTCAACTCATCAACGATATATTCAACAAACGGCATTTCATCGCAATTTGATGGAGCAGCAATGGCATTTTATAACTCATTGGATTATAATCCAGATTGTTCGGCATTCATATCAGGTATGAATCATACAGATGGACGATTTACAATGGCACCAAGTCTGGCCATTAATGTCTCAGTTGAATTTTCCATACTTGACAATTTAACTTCTGCAACAATGCTAGGTTGGCTTCATTCATGTTCCAGAAAATGCAATTTTGTTGAACTTAGATGTTCGCGCTGGTATACATCATTTTTAGCAAATACTTGCGACTATGAATTCATAGAATGTGTTTTCTACAAAACCGAAATACTTGACATTGTCGAAGCATATAACTAGAGTATTACAGGGATGCTTATTAATTGCTACATAAAGAAATACAAAGATCCATTTGATGGTAAATTTAATAGCATAGATAACAATCTCAACATTGAATGTGGTTTTCCAAAGAAAAACAAAATTGATAAGATGACTTTATTCTACATACTTTTAGCCTCATCAATAGTGTTTGTTACGATTGTATCAGTTAGTATATATTTTATTGTTAGAAAGCATCAAAAAGTTATAGAAGAAAGATACCAGCTTGAGAGAAATTTGATGAATGACTATGGGTGATTAAATACACATACATATATTATATATCATGCTTATTTTTTATTATAAATTTAAATTCCAATTGTATCATTTAAAAAAATAAGAAATAAATTTATTGTTTTCTATAAATGTCTATACAGTTCTATGTTTGTAATAATATTTATCATTCATTAATGATGATCAAAATTATAAAATTTAAGAATTTTCATCATATCTGGAAAATAAGAAAAGAATTGTATAAGATATTATATAAAAAGTACAAATATACCGATAATATGCTTTACAAAACAAATGAATATAGGTTTTCAAGAAATAATCTGTTGGTTTTTCAATTTGAAGCTTTCTCAATAGACTGAACATCATTAAAATTATCATAAAGAACAAGAATTGTAATTGGTTAACAATTAACTATCCCAATTAATCTCTTCATTATGAAATTTCCCAACATGAAGAACAGGATCTATTGATGGAGCATAAAGTGGTGTAATTGATTCATCTGGGTTTTCTGTTTGATCTATAAAAGCTTTAATATCATTATTGATATATCTATTTGTAACAACAGTGTTAAATGCTCGTTTAACCCCAATATTGGGCTGCTGGGGCAACATGTAGTTCTGATATGTTAATCTATCTTGAAAAGGAAATGGATTTTCAACTTTTACCTCATCGACTTTTTTTGCTTTAGGATGTTTTAAATGGGGTTCATCAGGAAAAGAAAGCGAGTGACTATGAGTCATTTGGTAATTCTTAATTGCTCTTGGGTGTATTGAACAAACCGAACGAGCAGTTTGCTTCAATGTAGTAAATCTTCGGTGGTTATTTGTCTGTATCCGTAAACACTCATTAATTTCATCATTCATTCGTTTGTTTGCGCGTATCATACTCGAAACAAATGATTTCATTAAGATAATAAATTAATAATCAACTATAAATAATGACACTTTTTCAAAATATTTTTTTGAAATGAATTGAAAAATTAAATATTATTATAAATAGATAATAATGATAAAATAAAGATTTGAAAATTCATTAAATGGTCGCAGTTCTGAAATAGAAAACATTTTCTTTCAAATATCAGCTCAGAATTTATAATTCAGAGTAAATCAATTTTCAAGTTAAGATTATTAAATATTATCGTATGATTTGATTTTAAATTTTTCGGAATAAATTATACGAATTTTTGCAGACTTTTCAGAGAATTGAGCGGGAGCTCAATTCTCTGAAATAGTCTGTTAAAATTTAGTATCTCTGCATTATTTCAATATAAGCTCCATTTTTAAATAGATTTTAAAAATCGAGCATTGAAAAAGTATGTAGAGATATTCTTATTTAAATATTTGTTCGAACATATAAAAAATGAATATAACCAAAATAGAATTATGACTATCGTCGTGCATTACAGTTTTGATTTTAAAAAATCTGACGTGAAGAAAAAGAAACTAATTTTGTTGATTATCTACTTTTAATATCATAAATACTAATCAGTAAAATTCATAGGAACTGAAGGCACATCAAATCATGTTGCATCAGAGAATTTTTCAAATTTAATGGCACTTCTTAGCAAGACTTCAATAACAAAACCCAGACACAAAAACTCGCTTTCATGATGCTCTTATTTCAAATAATTGAGTATTATGATGGCATAATCTCCAACTGTTAAAATTCCCGTATTTCTTGTGATTAAATACAATTTGGAGGAAAGACAATCGAGTTCATAGACAAAAACAATAAATATCCATATAAAAAAAGATATTTAGAATCAGTAGGATTAAAAAAGAAGGTGATCAATAACCCTGGGTAACAAGCATCCGATGGGAAAATGGTCCGGTAGATCAAAAGATATTATTAGGAGGATTCGAATCATTCGGATTATATGATTTATTCCACGTCCAACGAGTTATGTACATTGAACTATTTTCATTCATTCTTCTTTTATTTTTGTTCCCTTCATGGTGTAACAATTTCGGTGTTTCAGATGGTGTTGTTTATTTAGTTGTTTTAATCTTGCATATTGTATTTTGTTTGATGAGTTATTTCTTTGTTATTTCACACAAGTTTATTCATCTTTATTTCGCAAATATCATTTGGCTTGCATATGAATTCGCAATCTCTTTCTTCTATTGCCAGAATGACATCAGTTACATGCCTGGCTCATTAATATTTTATTTGATTGTTCGATTGATTTCTCATTTTTGTTATTCATTCCATGTTCGATATGGCAAAACTGTTTTAGATTTTGTCTATCCAGATTTCAAGAGAGATGTACATGCGATATTCTCAAAGAATATGTCATTGAAGAGGATTCCATTGATCTTCGAGATCAAGTCATTATTCCATTGGATGTCGCAAGACACGTATGTCAAATACAATGATTTCTTGGGTCTTGGCTATTTGAGATTAGGATTAGAATGCACACTCATTCGCAAGTACAAACGAAATCTTAAGACATTAGAAAAGCGATTTAGAATCGGAATATTGTTACTCGCAGGAATTGCGATTCTCATTTTCTTACCTTTGTTTTTCATGTTCCCGAAAGCTCAGAAAGTCACTGTTGTCAAGAACACTCCTGTTGAAGCAATTTTGAGTATTGGATACACAGAGATGCCAAAATTATATAAGAGACACGGAATCATTAAGATATTGTCATCAGAAGAGAAAGAAAATATATTGAACAAAACGGATTTTTATTCAGATTTGACATATTCAGATGATGATGAAATTGCAGTTTTAACATTCAAGACAGAGTCATCTGTTGTTTCGACATTGAATATTAGATCTATTATGTCCTCAGGAGGAAGTTCAGTTCCTATTATTTCCCTCAAATTGTACTTCAATAACACGGTTGATGAAAGAAACTTAAATCCAGTTCTCTACACAACAGTTATGCCTCCTTTGACAGATGAAGAAATTACTGAGAATGTTAATCATTTCAACTCTACATTGCAGCTTGCCACTCAGTACAAAGTCATTGATTACATGAAGATTTATCAACAAGGAAAACCTAAAGCATCTACCAATAACACCACAACAGTCCAACTGACATATGTTGTGAACGGAAACTATTGGGAAACAAATGATGAAATATCCATTGTTGTTTGGTGTGAAAAGACAGAGCGTAAAGAATATAATGATTCGTCATCATCTACGACATCAGGCTTAGGTTTGTATATTTTGTTATTAATCACATTTGGCTTAGTTCTTAGATACCAGATCAACAACCACATTGATTACTTCTGGTTTGAGAAGATGAAAGATTCGAACAGATCTACAAGCGATTCCTTCTTATGGACGCATTCAGATCAACAGGCGATGCTGAGAGAGAAAGTGAAATTGCTGATAACTTGATTGAACTGTTCAGATCTCACCAGAAATGTATTGATCTCACTGGATGATTTTTATTATATATACGTTTATATATATTTTTATTTGTTAGATAAAATTATTTGGATTTATGAAATATAAGCTTTTTCTTTTTTATGATTAGACATAATGCATAAATCATTCATTTACCATCATATATGCATCATAAATATACAATTATTGCATAATTTTACATTTCAACTCACGCTAATTTGACAATTAAACAAGCTTGAAACCAAATAAAACCTAATGATATGCCAATTACAATTCATAAAACTTATTTTTAAGACTTCTTTCCGAAATGAAATTCCTTCTGTTGTTAGTTCCATGGTGAATTACTTAAATAAGGAGTCCAAAGACTATTTTTCAAATATATAACCAAATCAATAACTATTTGTTAAACCAACCTTTGGACGCACTGTATGATAGGAATACCTGAATATAATAATATAAGGATGTCGGGATTGTCAAAAACAAAATTTGGTCATCTATATTAAAATATTAAAAAGTATTTTAAGGTCATTTAGTTGCGTACAATTGCATTTGTGAAATATATTGTTTGATTGATAAGAATCTGAAAGTTATTAATTACAATTAAAATTCATGAAAAGAATACGATTTCAATAGGTCAAAATGTTTTACTATTGATTATGAATGAGTTTCAGAGCTTTCTCAACTGCTTATTTCTTGAAATAAGCAGGTTTTTCTCTTTGAAGCTTTTTTAAAAATTCACGAGCTCTCTTTTCTGCTATGAAACTTGGAATTCCTGGAATTAAAAGTGGTTGGTAATTTGACTCTGCTTCTTGTCTGAAAAGACGTTGGACTTTTTGCTTTGCAAGTTCTATTAAGATTTGGGTAACTAATGGGTTGAAGTTATCTGAATCGTCTTGTTCTTCTGCGTTCTTGAAATAAGGATGTTTGGCCAGCCATCCATGATGGGCCCAATAAGGTGCATAAAGTAGGTTATCTGAATCGTCTTGTTCTTCTGCGTTCTTGAAATAAGGATGTTTGGCCAGCCATCCAGGATGGGCCCAATAAGGTGCATAAAGTAGGTTATCTGAATCGTCTTGTTCTTCTGCGTTCATGAAAGAATACATCGGTTTACCAATCCATGGGTGTTGCCTGAGATATTCTTTGGTTTCTTCAGGAGTCTTGAAATATGGTAGACCCTTGAGGGTTGGACCATACCGAACTAATGGTCGACGAATGGACGACGTCGTGAGCATAGTTAATGCAAAAAGCATTTTGAAAAATGATTAAATTGAATATAAAAAAATTGAATATAATTTACAAAAAAGTGAATGTCAGATCTGACACATATCAGATTAAGAAATAACATAATAAATATGATAATCTGCATAGACAATTCCGATTTTTTTATAATTAGAACAATTTTGTGGATGGAAAAATGTAAACCTATCAATATTAAAACAAGATTGTTTCGATTCAGATTCAAAATATGGATATCTATTTTTTCATTAAATATGCAGTTTCAATATATATTTGAGAGATTTTTTTCCATGCTTTGCAGTTATACATTACCAAAACGAAGATGAATGATATTATTGCGTTTTTCAAAAATTACTGTATTTTAGAGAATTTGCAATTTTTAAGCATAACTCACTCACAACTCTGTAAAACTCTGTTGTAAAAACTTTGAAATATTTCCAAGCGATGAACTTGTTCAAAGTTTTTCACAACTCTGTAAAACTTTCTCAAATTCAATCTTCGATTCTTACAAAATATATCAAAATGAAATGCAAAGGCTATCCAAATACAAAAAGTTTATTCAAGACACTGAATGCAAATCAAAGTCAAAGCAACATTGGTATTCATTTTTCAGCCCTGGAATAATTCTTCCCAAAGAAATAAGTGATGATGAATGCTTAAAAGAAAACTGCGCAGATCTAGATATGAATATTTCAATTGTTGTTTGGCAGTTCGTCCAATCTCTATTTCCCAAAACTAAAATAGCCGAACAAAATGAGAAAAGGAACAAATTAGGCAGATACAATGGCAATATGGAAGAAATTGAAGTCGAACCTTATCGCATCAATGATGCATCAACAAACAGATCATATGAACAGCTTGTTTGAATTATATCTTATTACAAATAATTTATTTTATCAATTGCATGTGGTGATAAGTATGTCGTTTGGGGGAAGATTTTGATTCCAGCCTTCTGAAATTTTTTCTCGTGACAACGTAAACTTTTCAAAAATAAATGTAAACTTCTGAATTTTCTGAACTTTACATCCTGACGCCTTGTGACGCCGACCTTAGTTTTTCCCCTTTTTATATGCTTTACTTGGAAAAGAATATTTAATAATTTGATGATCTCAAAATTAAACATTTCCAGTAATTCTTGTATTTCATAATTTTGATGATTGTTAATGACTTTGTTCTATCTGAAATTGTACAGTATGGGTTAATCATCTTTAAATCCTGAATTCTCAAGTATCTTTTTCAAGCGCAACTTAAGATTTCAATATTAATAAACTGTAGACTGTGTTAAAGCTCGAATTCATAAACGCAATTTTGCACCCAAAATAATTTTAATTCTAAGATTGAGGAGGCTCATAGAAAAAAAAAAGAAATTGATAATCGTTTTTTTTTCAAAATGTCAAGAGGTAGAAGAAAAATAAAAGAAAAAGAAATTGATAATCAGCAATTAGTGTATTCGTTTTGCGAGGGTGCATGCTCAGATACATTTAAAAAAAGATCAGCTAAATGCTCTGAAAAGGTTTCATCATTTTTTTCTAATAGCTTGGAATCAATTTCAGATGTTGATAAGCATGCGGTTCAGAGTGCTTTGAATTTTGTTCATACATGGTATGCTCTAAACAAAGAACCGGAACAATACGTATTAAATCTAATAGTATTTGCAATTCTGAAATTCCCAGACTTCACACCACACTTAACTGTATTACTTAAATACTTCGAAAATGATGATTGGCTCTATTATTCTCTTCGATATTCATTGAAAAAAGATAATAATATTGTTAAAACGTCAATTAAGGAGAATCATCCTATATGGTATATATTTGTCGATAAAATTGCAAAAGATGTTAGTAAAAAACGAAATACATTTAAATCTCAATTCCAATCAAGAAGCGTTAGATGCATAATTGAAGTGTTTGTACTCTTTTGGGCGGATACTAGTTGTGGTTTTGCACCAGCTGACAAAGCAAAATCTTTTATTAATTTTTGCATCGAAGCAAATAATCATACAGCTCATCAGCTACTATCAAATATGTTACTACTATTTCCTGATGATTTTGATCAAGAAAACTATCAGCAATATATTTCATCGGCTGAATTTACTGATTATAAATCACATTATGATGGTAACACAGGTAAAATCATCATATAATTTGTTTGTTATTAATAAATATGATATATTCTAACATATTATAAATAGAAACTAAAACCATTTCAAAATATATAGAAATCTATAGAATCTATGTCAATGTTTTTACAAAATTACAGCACAGTGTTGAACACATTTATGCATGATATCTGTTTGACTCAAAACTCAAAAAATAAAATTAGAATTTTTTATTAGCTCTGAAAATGCTCAATTGATCGGCAAAATTTATGTATATACATTTACCATCAACAAATGCATATATGTATCAAAGAAACTAATATGAAACGCCCAATAAAAATTCTATGATAAAAATTGCTTACATACATTGTATTTATAAGCATTTATTAATAACGCTATTTATGTAATGTGCAAAACATAATATATTACTCGGAATTGTTCGAAGAAAAAAATAAAAACATTTTATTTAGTATGTATAATGAAAATTAGTATACAAAATTGTTAAAGCTTTTTGTGGGTAAATAATGTATCAAATTTCTGAGATAATTGAATTTCATTTTGAAATTTGTTATTAAATAATTAAACGTTGAGTGGATTAAAGGTTCTTCTTACAAGTACTATTATTACAGCACCAACGACTATGAAAAGAGCTAAGAGTGTTAAAGTTGCTTCCATTTTTGCTTCGTCTACAGCTGTTTGATTAACTGGCTTTGAAACTGCTGGTGTGTTGGGAACTAAGCCACTATCATCATGGGATACTCTAAAGAAAGCAAGGAAAAACGCTAAGATCAATAGCATAGTTTTTGTCACTTTTTGTAAATTTTGTAAATACAAAAGAGGAAAATCATGATCTGGTTTATACGATAATATAGAAGCAACGCGTAGATGAAAAATACCAGTAAGGTTACTGTGGGTACCTGGTAAATATATATCAATATGGAAAAATCATGAACTATACTTCCCATAGAAAAAAATCTTAGTATCATAAAAGTGACAAAATATTAGGATGCCTATTTCTGTACGACGTGTTAAAATCACAGACCTTAATGAAATGCAGCAAACAAACTTATCTTGCTTAGCTGAGAATTATCACATGTGGTTTTGGCTCTATCACTACTTAATTTATCCAGCTTCATCACATTGCGCTGTTGACTCATTAAATCATATACTTGGATACGTTCTTAGTAAAATGGATGATGATTCTCGTCGCAAAAACCCTAACGAACCTCTCCACGCTTTAATGACTTCCGTGGCCGTATACAATGGTTATCGAAAGCTTGGTCTTGCTAAGCAATTAATGCTTTCATCACAAAGAGAAAACCAATTATGCTACAAAGCTGAATATGTTCTGCTTCACGTCAGAGAAACAAATAGAGCCGGACATCTTTTATACGAAAATTCACTTGGCTACGTTAAAAACCAGGTTTGCAAAGAATACTACGTAGATGGAGAAGATGCTTGGTCCATGAAACTCGTTCTTCCAAAAACTGAAGCTCAATTAGCAGAAGAAGCTGCAAAGAAAGCAGCAAGTTCACAACCTAGAAAGCCAAAGAAGGGTGGACGAAGGTAAAATATGTAGTTTACTGTCACAAATTATTATTCAAATTTGTTTTTGTGATTTATATGTTAATATTATGAGTAAACCTTTTATATCATCTGACCTATTGGGAAAACTCCCGAAATATTTAAAGGAAAACAAGAAAAAATAATCACATGAAATATGATCCTTAAAAGTTGATTATTTTTATTAACCATTAAAGTTTATTATTAAGTAAAACTTAATTTTACTTTGTAGCTGGTTTCTGGCATTCGAGGCCGTAGTTACTCTCCTTTGCACGAATGATAGCGTAAATTGTAAATGTATATGGAAGCTCAACATTATGCTTTTCAGCAAGCTTGAGGAGAACACCAGCTGTATCCTCAATTTCTGTCTTACGCTGGTTGAAGATATCCTGGTTCATTGAGCCTTGGTGCTTCGGATATTCCACGAGGGCGAGCTTCTTAATAGCCTCAACTGAGATTTCCTTGTTGAAGTACTGTGTATCAACACCTTCAAGTTTAGCAATTTGGGCACATTCTTCGAAGTGTTGCAAAACGCCGCCACTTTTTGAGAGCGGCGTTTTGCAATTGCTATTTTTCTAGATATTGGCTTGTTTTCAATCAGAGTTGAAATGCAGCGCAGAAGGACTAGCTTATATGCAACATGTTTATATATGAGTGATACGATTTTAAAATTTTTCATAAGTTATTCAATGTAATTGTTTTTCAAAAATTATAATTTTAACAGTATTATCATGTGATTAGATAGAATGGATATGATATTTATACATATGATTATTAAAATTAATAGATTGTGTAGTTTGAAAAAGAATCTCATTTTAAAGTTTTTATATAATGGATATTGAGTGTGTTATGATATGCCATATGTATTTTCTATATGAGTACATATCTGTTATGAGTGTGTTTTGTTTCAATGAGCGAATTTGTAAAGAATCTCATCAAATCTCGTATCAAAAAACTGTGTGTATTTTAGATAATATATGTTGTGTGTTGTTATATACTATGTTTTGTTATATAATATGGTGTGCTTGCGTTCCTATTACCTTTATATATGGAGAATGAAGCATCAAAAAACTCAAAAAACTGACAGCACATGAGAAAGTTTTGAACGAGCCAAGTTTATGAATATAAGTTGATGATATATGATATAATAATAGATAGATAGATATATCACTTATGAGTTATTTATACATATATAAGTTATGGAAATACTAGATAGATGTGAAGATATTACGATACAAACTAATACAGTCTCAAAAATTCTTAGATCTCAATATCAGAGTGTGTTTGATATGCGGGTGTATTACATAATAATAGCTTATAAGATTATAAATGTATAGTATATATATGAAAGGTTTATATTAGAGTAGAAGAGAAGAATTAAAATGATTTTCAAAAATATACTCAAATAAGGCATATTTGATTTGTTAGAGATATAAACCGGATTGAAATACAATAACTTTATTAATAAATGTAAAAATATAAGTTATGATAGTAATGCAACAAAATGAGACGTAAAATATTGGTATATTAATGTAAATGAAAGGGTATGAACTGAAATACTTATATATGATATAAGAAGAATAGTGGCTTATGGATTTAATGAGATTTTTTTAATGAAATTAAATAATAAAAAACAAATTAAGTAAATAAGAAGCTATAAGAGAGAAATGTGTGTTTATTGAGGTTGTTTAAAACGTTTTTAGAAGGATTGTTGGAATTAGGAGAAAATGTGATGAGATGAGATAATTAATAAATAAATAGAAAAAAATAAGGATTATGATAGAGTTAATGAAACTGGAAAAGACTAGAAGGGGGCCCTGACCTCGAGAAAGGACCCCCTTCCCGGTCTTTCTGGCGAACTTTGGTTCGCATTGCGAGTGTCTGCTGCTTCTTTTGACTGAAGCAGCAGGCACTCGCAATTATATGTCACGGCAAGTGCACCTGTGGTGCCAGAATGCACTTGCCGTGACTTCCCATGAATCTCCTGATCTTCCTGAAAGGAATGACAGTACTGACAAAAGCCACTTCATTCAATACCAGAAAGCCAAGAAGGAAGTTCTTACCTTGAGAAAGAGCTTCCTTCTTGGCTTTCTGGTTTGCATGTGATTTAAGTTAGTTGAGAAGGGGTATTTTCCAAGCTCTGGCCTGTGCTTGGGCCAGAGTCTGTATATTTCTTTCTTTCAGGGCCGAGTTACTGCGAGACCGTCGACATGATCGACGATCATCGCAGAACTCAGCCCTGAGGACTGTTCTTGCAGGCTCTGGCCTTGGCTTGGGCCAGAGCTTCGTATTTGACGCTTCCCAGGGCCGGATTCCGCTCCTGCCGCCCGGGATAAGGGCCGCATTTGGGGAAACCGGCCCTGGGGAATGTAAGCGAAGCTCTGGCCTGTGCTTGGGCAAGAGCCTGTATATTTCTTTCTTTCAGGGCCGAGAAGAGAGGAGATCGTCAATGATGTGGACGATCTCCCTCAAACTCGGCCCTGCGGATTGTACTTGCAAGCTCTGGCCTCGGGAAAGGCCAGAGCTTCGTATGGACACTCTCTCGGGACTGGATTCCTCTCCGGCCGCCCCGAATCAGGGCGGTCTTTGAGGAAACCAGCCCCGAAGGATTGTTTGCGAAGCTCTGGCATTTCCTGAGGCCAGAGCTTATGGATTTCATTCAGAGCCAAGTTCCTCTCGGATCGTGCCTAATGAGGACGACCGTGGAGGAACTTGGCTCTGATGAGATGAGTTGTGAGCTCTGGCCAATCTAATTCTCTTACTCCATAGAACCTATATTCAAAACTATAACAAGATGATAGTTTCTGAAGTAAAAAATATGTTTTCTATTTGCATTCACTACGTAAATCTTCTATTCAGTTCCTCAAGGATGTCGAAAAATTTCTAAGATTTACGGAAATTTTCATACCTCAGAATTTCATCCCTTAGAGAATCTAAATGAGTGCTTTATCACGTTTCGACTTTGGTATGATAGGTATATCTAGGAAATCTAAATTCAAAAAAGCACAACCATTCTTTGAGGAACGTGATGAAGAAATTGAAGAATCAGAAGATGAAGATTTACCAATAATTCCAACTTATGATTCGACATCAGATATTTCATTTGATGATTCTGATTTGTATGGTAATACATATGAAGAACTATCTGAAGAAAGACTTCCATATGGATTATTTACAAATGAAGAAACTCCTATTAATAGAAAAAAGCGATACAACAAAATTCTCGAACCTAAAGGTCATCGTCCATCCAGACCTTCAGATGTTTCTGAATCATTTGAAGCTCCACACCCAGCAGAAAGTATTCTTTTATCTTTTAATACGCCAACACATGATATTAACCGATCAGAAATATCTTCACCAGATGTATTTACTAATACAAGTTCTAATATTGCAATTAATAATTCAAATTCACAGCAACATTTTACTCCAATTTCACCTATCGAAAAAACTTCAATTCAAAAAGAATTATCATTTACAGAAGGCTTAAATAGCGCTGATAGACAGTCTTCTTTTATAAATCTTTTTGAAAAAAGTGATTTGACTACTTCAACAGAAGAATTAGATATTTTTGGCAAAAGATTCTTAGAACAGTCATCCCCTATACAAGAATACAATGTACCTGATGCTAACTTAGCAAAAGTGCAAGAAAATGCTGAGAAAACAAAATCAGTCACAAATAGCAAAAAATTTAACGACAAACTAACAAAATCATTCAATAATATTGATTTTTCATCAAGTCTACAGTTTGATTCCACAGAATCTCCTGAAAAAAGTCAAAATTCATCAAATAATTTTTCAACAACTAATCAAAGCGTTTTGCAAGAGCTCAAAGCATATGCTGATAATGAAAAGCAAAAAGAAAATAACTCAAAACCTCAAATTTCCAAAGATAAAAATAATAATATTCAAAATCAGCAAAAAGTGACTCAAAACAACAAATCATCGATTCTACCACAAAATTTATTGTTCCTTTCTTCATTTGAAAACAGAAATTTTGACAAAGATTTTATTATCAAAGAAAGTCATCATAAAAGAGAGAGAAGATCGTCATCTGGCTCTGATTCAGACATAAAGCCATCAAGATCACGTGATATTACTACTATTTCACCGAAAAAATCAAATATAATTGTTGATGAAATTATATCTCAGCAAAACAACACAGAAAACAATGACAAGGTAGTTCCTGTTGAAGAATTTGATGTTTTGAATTATCCAAAACATAAAAAATCCAAAAGAAAAAGAAATAAAATTGGAGATAGCACTCCTGTGTCAATTGATGATGAAAAACCTTATACAATTGATGAACCTGTCTATATGTCGCCAAGCAAGAGGTTAAAAGTACAAAAATCCAAAGAAAACATCAAATTTGATTCAGATTTTTCTGATTCTCCATCAAAACAAAGAGCATTGAGTGAAAATGATGATTTAGCTGATAATTTAATGATAAAAGAAGAAGCCAGACCTCATATTTCTCCAAATAACAACATGATTAATAATATTTTAAATAATGATCAACAACTAAGACAAGTTATTCAAGAAAAAACTCCTAAAGAGAATAACAAACCAAGATTGAGACGTTCTAAGCATCAAAGTCATGAAGAAATCATTGAATCTTTAACTCCAGTTCATAATTTACGTCGGCCACATAAATCATTGAACAATGACATGTTCAATGAAGAGGAAGAAGACTTACCGTTGTTTTCTCAAGAGAATGATGTATTTTTCACTCCAAAAAATGTAATAAATAATTCAAATTCTTCTTCCGAACAATCAGAGAACGTAAATTCATCAGAAATCAAAATACCACAATCAAAAAAGATTTGTGTTGATTCTTTTGATGAAAAAATCGATGAAAAAAGAAATTTTATATTTTCAAACAACGAAGATGAGAAGGAATCAACATTTGAGACAGGAGAAAGCTACAATACCTTTGAAAATGATAGAAATACCTCTGATAGCTCTTATTATTACGAAGAAGATTATTATGAAGATGATGACCAGTACGAATACGATTTTGATGATGGTTTTGATCATAATGGAACAAAGAAACTCGATCTGTTCGGTCCTTTGTCTAATTTCAAGTCAGCAACAGCGAAATCAGAAAATTCGACGATAGATTCTAATGAATCTGATGAAATATCATCGAATACATTGATAGAAAGTAATATAAACAATGATGATAATGAAGAAGAGAAAATTTCTGTTAAAAAACATAATCATTTGCCAAAACCTCCTCCAGAACTGATAAACAATGATTATGAATATGAAATTACTCCAAAGAAACATCATTCAGCAAAGAAACACAAAAAGAGATCTTCAAAAGTTCCAAAAGATGAAGATTTCGAACAATTTTCTGACAATTATGTGATTCCTAATGATTTACTTGGAGAAAGTCAATTCCAGAGAATAGAGCTTGTCAATCAAAAGTTTTCCAGTCCTCCTTCTGCAGAATTCATGGATCAGAACCTTCAAATTTTGGCGAAAGAAGAGAAAAAGAAGAAAAATCCAAAATTACCTGTCATTGATGAAGTTGATGAACAAATTAATGTTGATTTGATTAATCCTAATTCAAATGAAATAAATGAAGACTCAGATCAAATCAGTCAAGAACTCATACCTGAATACGAAATCAACAACCCTTCTTCTGATCCATTCAAAGACGTGATTTTACCTAAATTTAAAATTAATGAAAAACAACAAAACAATGAAAACGATTTTAATAAAATTAATGAGCTGCAAATTAATGAAAGAGAAGGAATTCGAATTAATGAAAGAGAAGGAATTCGAATTAATGAAAGAGAAGGAATTCAAATTAATGAAAAAGAAGGAATTCAAATTAATGAAAAAGAAGGAATTCAAATTAATGAAAAACAACAAAACAATGAAAATGATTTTATTAAAAGAGATGAACAACAAATTAATGGGAAAATGAGAATTCAAATTAATGAAAATTCTACAAATTATTTTGACAAAAATTTAGAAAAATCTAAAAATGTTTCACAGGTAAATGATAATGAAATCGTCAATACTCAAAGTTTTTATAATGATGTTAATTTCCAAAATCAACAAATTGATGAAAAAGAAAGAATTAGAAACAATAAAAATGAAGTTAAAAATGATTTTGTTAAAAATGACTTCACTTCTACACATCAATCCAATAATGATGAAATATTACATGGAAATGTTTTGAATCAATCAAACAATGGTAATAAGATTGATTTTAATGATTTTGATTTCCAAAATCAACCAAAAATTAATGAAAGAAAAATTGATTATCAAAATGATGATTTCATTTTCCAAAATTCATCAAAAAATAATTTCTATAACTATAAAGTTGTTTCTGATGATTTTAATTTCCAGAATGAACCAAATAATAATGAAAAACAAGTTAAAATTGAATCTGATGAAAAAATGATTGAAGATAAAGATGCAATGATAAGAAGGACATTTTCTGTTCCTGATGACATGGATGATGCTGATTATGATTCGTCTGATTCTGATTCAGATCCGGTTGTTGTGAATCACATTGATCAATCAAATGATTTCCCTACTTTCGAAGAAGACAAATCACAACCAATTCCAAAAGCAAACTCTGTAAATATTCAAATGATTGATGTACAAGATTCGATGAAAAACTTTGATCCAATACAAAATCAACAAAAAACTTTTGTCAAAAAACCTTTATCTAAAAATTTTGATTCTGATGAAGATGATGACGAAGAACAAGTGAAAGAAAGAAACATTTCGACACCTGTTAAACCAGAAATTAAACCTAAAAAAGAAAAATTGCCAAAAGAAAACAAAAGTGAAATTAAAATTGAAGAAAATGTTGTTGAAAAGAAGGAAAAGAAGAAATTAACAGAAGAAGAGAAAGCAAAATTAAAAGCAGAAAGAGAAGAAAAAGAAAGAAAACATCACGAATTTTTAAAGAAATTGGAAATAGATAGAATCAACAGAAAATTAAAAAGATATCAGAAGGCAAACAACAACACAACAACTCCACCTCCTAACATTGATGAAAATAATTCAAAGTTTAAAGATGATGACGAAAATAAAGGAGGAATAAGACAACATATGAAACCTTTTGAAGAAAGTAAGTTTTTGGATGAAAATGACAACACTAAAAATAAATTGAAACATAGAGATAACAAAGAAGCTCCAAAAACTAATTATGTCGCATCTAAATTCTTGGATGATGACAAAAGTGATTCTAAAGATGAATTTGAGATTAAAGAAAAACCAAAACAAGAAGAAAATTCTAAAAAAGAAGAATCTCCAGTAAAGAAGAATAAATTTCTCAATTTTTCAAGTGATGATGATGATTTCGACTTGAAACCATCTCCTCATAAGAAACCAAAAGGAAGAATTAAACCAAAGCGCCATAAAATTTCATCATCTTCATCTGATGATGATAAATCATCAAAAAAGAAGAAATAATTCATATATATCTTGTAATTATCTTGTTACTTAACCATGAAAATAAACTGTTTGTATTTGTTTGAAATAATAAATTTATGCGATAGTGCTTCTATCTCACTATATCAAAAGCTTATGAGGAAATATCTTATCTTGACAAGTACTCATATGGGTTCATGCATGTAATTAGTATATTTAAAATGAATAAATATAAATATATCCCCGTGAATAAAGAATAATTGGAACCCACAAAATTATACCACATTAGAATCATTAACTTGGATTTGTGTAAGATAATTTAATAGTTCTCCAAAGACAAAAATATTTATCACTATTTAACAAGAATTAAAGAAAGATTGAAAAAAATTATTCTAAAAATTATATAATTTTCGTATTATTTATGGAGAATTTTTATTCGTCATAGTATGCATATTCGTTTTATTTTATTAATTTTTGAATATCTAATTTTTGTAAGAAAAGATTTCAAAAAAACGTGTTTTTGCTAAAAGAGAATGGAAAATACTGAAGCTGACCTCGAATTGCTGACACAAAAATTATCCAGCACTACCGAGGTTAAGCTTCGTGATCTAACACCTACTGAAATCTCGATGTTATCATCGACGATTCCTGAAATTAAAACAATGTTAGACTATCGAACAGAAAGAGATGAGTTTTTGACGAAGTTTACTGACCCCGTAAAGATACCAACATTCGCTACATACTCAGACGATCTCTTAAACAGTTCTAACATAAATCCGGACTTACCGAACGAAACGCAAAAGCAATTGAAGCTCTTTTTCGCAAATGAAATCAACCGCGCTAAAACTATACGCGATATTGTTAAAAATCATTTCACAAATTCGCAAATAATTATTGATTCTCAAGAATCTCTCTTTACTTTTACAAAAGACATAGCAAATAGGATTTATCAATGTGAATCTGGTTTGAAGCGTCTTCAAGCAACAACAATTTCCACTTTTAGTTTAGCTGATATCAAATTACAAGTAAATTCAACATTTTACGAGACAGCACGTAGAGCATTCTTAAACTCTATCAACCAGAAGATCAAAGCATTCCCATTATCATCAAGATCTTCAATAGTTAATCGAATATTAAAAACTGTTATGGATACAATGACAAAAGATAGCTCTAGACCTCAAGTTCTTACTTTTCATGATACTCCAGAGCTAGTTGATAAAGAATTAGAAAGACTTTCCAAAAAATTTGGAATTCATACTGATATTTCTCAGGCAGATGGCCAAGAATTCCTTTATCATGCAGATAAGATCTTCCATACACTCTGGAAGAAGCTAAATATCGAATATGTTGAGCGAAATTACCCAAGAAAAACAAATAAAATCGAACCATCGCAAGAACAACTTGTAATGGACAGATTACTTGATGATGTTGCTCCTGATGTCAAGTTTTCACTCATATTTGAGCATTTATTTACTTTTACTCAAGAAGAAGTGATGAATAACATAAATGAAGTTGTTAGGTTCTATCACGCGAAGATTCCTGACCATAAACTTGTTTCTTGGCTTGAACTACGCCTTGTTCATATGAAATACCTCTTAGTTCTTATTCTTTCTCATTTAAATTATTTTGAATTAATCAGAACTGGCAAAAACTATCAGATTTCATCGGATCCTGAGATTCCAAACATCATAGAGATCAAAGATGAAGAAGGAAACCTTGTAGTTTTCACAAAAGCTCTTTCAAAATACGAATCTGTCAAAAATATGATTCTAAAGATCGCAACATTCAACTTAGAGAGGTACCAATCAACAATAGAAGAAGCATCGCTCACAGTTGACAAAGAAGGAATTCTTGAAAGGTTATTAATTCATATGTCGAATTTCTTAATGGCAAAACGAGCTCTTTTGCAGCCATTATTAGAAGCATATGAGCATTCAGGCGAAGACAATCTCTGGAACGTGATATCTCAAGTCCTTGACGAAACTCCGAAATTGCCATTACATTTATACCGAAGTTTCGAGAGCCCGTTCGAAATTGAGGTTGAAGTCATGCATAAGAAAGCGGATATCATCAGATTCCTCTTCAATTCGCAAGTTATGCATGAAAGACAAATCTCAACTCAATTTAATGAGGTCATTCCTATTTTTGACCGACCAATCAGTCTCGCAAACGAGAAACACTTCTATAAGAGATACAATGAGAGTATTCCCATGACTGTATTCGAAGTTTACCAGAGTTTAGGAAAAATTGGCGAATTTATCAACGTAATTCACAATGTTTCTCTCGAGTTCATAGAGACATTGCAGATCAGACAGATCCGATTCATGAATTGTGTGGAGTTAAGTGTATGGTCACAGGTCGAAGAAATGTTAAAAAGTGACGTTTGTCAATTTCCTTACGATAGAAGCACTTCTTCATTTAATTTCGTGCTGAGCGATACAGTCAACTCATTGTTCAACTCTGCCTTCGTTAACAGGATCACTGAATTCGACGCTATAAGTGAGAACATGAACGAAGGAAAGAAATTGAGATTTTTCTTAGCATTAAAACGGTTTTTGCACTTTACACGACAATTAGAAGAAGAAGTGATCAGAACGAACATGTTGCAAGTCGCCTATTACGAAGGCTGTGATTGGCTGAACATCTCAGACAGATCAGTTTTAATGGGACCGTTCAGAGAAACAGCGAAAGGCGGAGATGTCTTGGAAATGCACCAAACATCAAGTGGCGAAAAAACAATTGATTTCGCTTTGTCAGAGATCGAACCTGTGACAATCAATTTCTGTTCGCCTAGTGATGTAAAGGATATAATACTATCCAATAATTTCGATCTATTGGACAGATTAGTTCGTTACCAAAGGTTGCAAAACACAATTTTGGAAGCAGCTGTTAGATATAATAATGTTTCAATAGATTCAGACAGACTTGTTCAATTTTTTGAGATGAATGAAACATCATCTGATGTTTTCTTAACTGTACAAGATGAGAAACTCAATGAAGAACAAGGTGCCGAAAAGTTCATGAAACAATTTATTGCTCCTCTTTTGTTTTACGATTCTGCTTCTATTTATAGAGATAATCAACTGATGCAAAGTGACAAACTCTCGTTCATGGTCTCTATTTCGTCAATTAAAACGAGAACAAGAACAATATTGACGTCAAAGACAAGACAGAAAGATTATAACTCTGATACATTATATGATTTGTATAGAAGTGAAATGTTGGAAGCATTTTCTTTGCCAATTTATAGATACGAAATCTATAGAATTACTAATATAGAAAGAACTGTTTTGCAGTCAAATGCTTTCATTGATACTTTCGTTCTCGGACCACAACAAAGTACGGTTTTTGTAAATGAAGCAGGTAATTTTGAATCGATGTTTTATGTCCCTTCTTGGGTTGAAGTTTTCCAAATGATGCAGACTTCTCCTTTCGCAAGACAAACAATGTCATTGAAGGATGTTTTGAGCTATGTAATATACAGATTGAAATTGTTGTTGTTGGCCAAATACGAGTGCTCTATTTCCATGTCAAGTAGTAATTTATATCCTTCTCTTTACAACGGAAAATTTTCAATGGAAACAGGATTTTTCCAAAAATTAACGAATGAATTACAAAGATTGCCAAATTCAAGGCAAGTTGACATCGCAAGCAAATACTTGGAAGATAAATATGTACATTACTTCTATAGGATTGAGCATGCCGCATTGAGAACTATCGAATTCTTCTTCCAATCCATGAAAGTTGACACAGCAAGATCTGGTTCTTCTTTTGATAATGAAAAAAGTAAAAATTCTTCACCAAGATTTTGCCAAATTGTCAAAGATTTATGGAAAGAAATGCATCAACAACAATTTGTTGATAAACACATCTGTTCATGCGACAGATATATTCCTTGTTGGGTTAATCAGTTCCTTTCAGGAGCCAAAGATAACGATAGACTTGAATTTTCTTCAAGTTTACAAGCAACTGACACTTTTTTGGATACCGCAATTAAAGGAATCAAAGGCACAGCTGTCATGGAATACTACCAGATCTTACCATCAAGTATACGATTCCTGAAAGATGCGATTTGTTTGTTCCATCTTAAATTCGCTTATTATTTGTTGTTGGACAAATACACGCATAATCAAATCACTCAAGAAACATTTGTTTCTCTTTTGAATCACACAGCGGCAATCACAGGACAAACAGCATGGAATGATTTGATATTAAGCGAAGTCAACAAAACACTGAGTGTTGATGATGAAACAACTCAAAAATTCACTCCTGTTTCCATACAAAAACAGACTCAAACAACATTCGATGTTGCAAGGAATGCAATTGATTGTATAATACTGAACTCGCAGATAAAGATTGTACAAGAACAAGTCTCTACAATCGAACATGGTTTGTCAGGAGGAACTAAAAACGTTGCTGAATTAAAACCTGATATTTCGAGTGAAATTTATTCGAATAAAACAGGAAATGCATTGTTACAAGTAACTCCTGCACAAGCTGATAAACAGTTCAATGAGGAAATGAGGTATTCCGTTGCACAACTAACCAATTTCCTTTATACGGCTTTGGATTCAACAACTTTGGAAAGAAGAGATCATGATGGCACTTTTTCAACTTTGTATGATGCTGATGTTTTCGAAGCAATGGCACAGAAAATGACTAACGCGTTGAGTATATTTGGAGAAGGTTCTGTTAATGATTTGAACACTACATGGAGTGATTACATTCGTGCATTGGCAAACCAGTTACAAAAGAATGATGAAGAAGGAAGTTTATTGTCAATTTTCCAAAAATTGCAAGAAGACGGATTAGAAAGACAAATTGCAAGCCAATCTTCTGTTCTTTTCACGGATTCTTTCTTTGAAATCAATGATTTAAGAGGCAGATTAGCTTTGTTGAGAGAAAACAGAAGCAAACAAGAAATGGAAATGATCAGCGAAGAAAGAGTTCAGTTCGATGATCTAGTTAATGATTTGAAGACAGAAATAACAAACAAAAAGAGTGAATTTGGTGGAATCAAGAAATCAGTTTTAGACCAAGTTTCCAAGCGAATTTTCACAGCGCAAGGTGTCCAATTAGAAGTAAATGGAGAGAAACATGAGAATGGAAACAACGACAACAAGAAGAAGATCGAAGATATCGAAGAAGAAAATGTTTTGTTGCAAAAGAAAATAAAGATTTTGAGAATTACTCGTTGCATGGCTTTGATTGCTTTGAAAAGATCATTTTCTAAAAAGATTGCAAGTGCTGAATCAGACAGAAGAAGTGCAAATGCACAGTTGTGGGGCTCTAAATTATCATCTGATGAAGATGGAAAGATGATGACACAACAACTTATAGAAACAGGAAGAAGACTCGCAGATCTCGAAATAGAAATCGAAAAAGTTAAACAACAATTGGAAAATGAAAAAATGTCAAATATTCAGTTAGTTCATTGGAAAGCTAAAAACGAGAGAAAAGCAGACGAACTCAAGACAGAAATCGCAAAGTTTGATGATGTTGGTGATGTAAATATTGATGAGTTACTTGCAAAACTAGAAGCTAAAGAGAGTGAGTTGGAGCAGTTGAGAAGAGAATCAGATGAAATTGAAGAAAAAGCAGAAAACGAAATAAGAAAACCAATGAAAGATATCAGTAAACTTCGCGAACAAATAAGAGATGCAAGAATTTCGCGTGGTGTTATGTTACGAACATCAAACTCTGTTCTTTCGCAAGAAGCTAAAGATTGGGAAGCAGACATGAGGAACAGAGAATTGGCAACATCTTCAGTTTCTCAAGAGAATCAAAAATTGAAGAAAGAAAACGAGTTACTCAAAATCCAAATCGAGAGATATCAATCAGACAAAGACGGAAGATCGGTTGAACAAAAGAAGCAGATGGAGGCAACACTCAAGTTCAATGGAGCTAAATCTTCGTTGGCTAAAGCTGCCTCGAAAGTCAAACCGATTACAAAGCCTGTTCTTCCTCCAAGATCAATTTCAAAATTATAACTTTTTTATTATTATTATTTATTTTTATTTTTGTTTATTAATATATTTATAAAATACTCTATGTTTATCAATATTAACTTTTAATTGTACGCTTACTCTAGCATGGAATCCTTAGCACATACATACTCATGATTATGACATAAGAGAGGCAAAACTTATATTTTTTGTCAATCTGATATAAAATTATGTCTTGAAAATATAGTGCGCTTTGTAAAAAAAATCATCGTTTGAGAGGATAACTGAGTACTTTCTGACACAAGAACCCACAATGTCAAAAACTTTGAAAGACCAAAATTTTATTTTAGCGTCAGAAAATTTACAAATGAATACTTTCTGGCAAACAGAGTCTCAGAAAGTACTCAAATGTTCATAAGGAGTGTCAAAGTGCACCCTTAATTCATCTGACAACCGGCGTGAAGCGCCATTGAAATTTAACCTTAAACATCTGAATTGAAGGCCCTGTCATAGGAGCGTAAGTGCACCCTTAAATGAAGAATAAAAAATACTAAAAACCAAAAATTGTTTAAAAATTATTCTTTTTGAACATTAGATCTTTTTCGACGACGAATTTTTTTGACTGCATCATCTCTCGCGAACGTATCATGACGGTTCTTGGAAATTGGAATTTTGCTATTTACTGTGTTTTCTTGATGATTATCTGTTGATGATCCGTTTACAGGTTGAGTACAGTTCGATTCGTGTTTAACAACTCTGTGGCGAACACGTCTTTTTCGAGGAGGTGATGTTTTATCAGAATTAACTGGAGTTCTGTCTTTATTATTAGATGTTTGATATCTCTCTATTTGGGTTTTGAGTAATTCATTTTCTTTCTTCAATTTTTGATTCTCTTTTTTTAATAAAGATATTTCCGACTCCTTAGCTGCTTTCCAACTTTTTTCTTCTTTTGAATGAACAAAATTAGATATTTGCAAAGCACCACGAAAGTTATATGATTTACTGAAATAATCGCTTTTTTGAGTGAAATTAATCATTGGCTTTATCTGCTCATCTGAATGTTTTTCCTTCATTTTTCTTGTATAATAGTCATCATAGTAATGTGGTTGAATATCACCCATAGGAATATAATATTTGCGATAAAATTGAGCAGATTCAATTCCAAAGCCTCCTGCACCATCATCCCACCAAAATAGGTAATTAACTGGATCTTTCTGATAATAACTTTTTTTTGAAAGATATTTTTTCATCTTGTGAACAATAATCTTTTCTAAAAGACCATTCGGACTTCTAAATTGTGTCGGAATATATAATGGGATGTAACAGTATGGAGATACTCTTACAGATGCTGGGGAAATCTCTCCTTCTTTTGATACTACAAAAAGACCTTTTCCATAGAAAAAGAAAACTCTGTCTTGAAAGACTCCACGGAATGCAATGACAGGATGATAACGATCGCCGCTGAATTTAATTCCATCTTCTTGCTTGTCAACAAAGTATAAAAAGTCATATTCTTTCTTCGGGATTGGTTCGTAACAATTTCTGTAATCTTGGAATATCCATTCTTCATCTATCTCAGAATAATCAGTGCTTCCTTTCATAGAATCAGTATCTTCAATTTGAGAACTATTATTTCTTTGATCGTTGTTTAAGTTACAAGATTCTGTTTTTTTTTGAGTGTGATAGTTGGAGGTGCTTCAAATATAGAATATAATTCATAATCATGGATATAATAGTGATCTTTCTCTCTACAATGTGAATAAATTTTAGGTTTTCGTAAAATATGATCTTGAATGTCATGTTTCTCAAGAAAAGATTTCTTGTATTCATAAAATTTTGGAAGATCACAATTCAAATCAAAAATTTTTGGACAAAAATAATCTTCTGTTGGCTCAAATAACAGTTTTGCCATCTCAAATATCCTTTTTTCAACAGAAATACTTGTATCAACAGGTCTCTTTGTGAATCTAGTTATTTCAGGTTCCAGAGATTTTTCACTTGAATACAACAGAATAGTATATCCAATCTTGTACTCCTTGTTGATGAAATAATAATCACAACCGACTAGAAAATCAACATATTCTCCATCGCATTTAAACGGAATTATCGGAAATGTATATTTAATAGCGAATTCGGATGAATTATGACAATCTGGAACAATTTCGTTGATGGTTTTATTATTATCATAAAATTCTGGATAAGCTTGAATTCTATTACTTGGAACGAACAACTTGTGTTCTCGGATGTTATATTGCGCCCCTGGGTAGAAGTCCTCTAATCCTGGTGGATAATTTGAAGATCGAGACGAAGAACAACAACACATAAAACAAAAATCAGTTTTGAGAGATTATTGAAATTTTTATAGTGAATTTCGTAAAGAAAGTTATATGATATTGAAAATCGATATCTTTAATTTTTTTTCATCATTCAAAAACTTATATGCACGTTAGAAATTGAGAAGAAGCTGAGCCTCTGTTATTGAATTTGATTACATTCAAAATAATGCATAGATTACTAAATACATTAATATATTAAAAAAAATAAGAAATTCTTCCAAAAATTTTATTTTACGTGTTTTAAAAAAATATGGGCTTTATCACATTCATATTTTTCCTACCAGCAAAATGATTATAGAGAATGTAAGCAAGAGTTATGAGCATATACCTAAGAGGCACTATGACCATTTTTTCCCCTATTAAAAACGATAAACAGGAAGATATTTTTGATGATTATATAGTCTTTTTCTATAGAACAAGCCTCTATTCAGTGACACGTGCAGGACTGATTTCTCCTGCTAATATTATTGTTTTGCCATACTGCTATTTTCCTGACCTACAGTCATATATGGTTCCTCATTCCTGTATAATTTCATGTAAAAATGATTGTTCGAAATTTACCTATTACCTCTGGAAAACTGTTTTCATGGATGGCTTTGGAAACGAGGAACCTGATTATCATATTCCAATGGTAGATATCCTAGAAATCCGCATAGTTTCTCGATCATTTTCGGTGATATTTTATGTTCAAATATAAAGATGTAAATATATTTTGTTGTTTTTTAGAAAAAAAATTGAAATTTCAAAACATAATTTTTTTAAATTACAATATATTTTTTGTTTGTTCATGTATAGTATATATATATTTAGTTACAATTTTGGAAGCAAATCGTTAGCTTCTTCTTTAACTGACTGAGATGTAGGAGATTTTGGTTTTGTTCCAATTGGAGGCAAAGGAGCCATTGTAGGGATAGATCCAACAGACTGTCTTCCTTTATAGACAACGCCTTTCTCGTTGTTGACTATATTTGATCTTGGAGGAATTGGTTTTCCTCCATTTGCTTCTGGATTTCCTAAATCAGTTCTTCCTGGTGGTAATTTAGAGCCGCAGAACAGGCATCTTGAATAAGCTGTGTTAGATTGTGCTGCATATGCTTCTTTTTCGATGGAAGGAGCTGCAAGATTTTGTAATCTTTCTTCAAGCTCTGTTCGAGTAATTCTTTGAGGTAATGCATCGACAACTGTTTTAACCTTTTCATGTGTTGCCTGGATAATTACTCTCATCTTTCTGAAGAAAGATTCAACATAATCTTTAGCACATTTATCTCTGACGACCTTTTCAAGCTTCCCGTTCCTTGATGATACTTTGTCTATATAAGTCTTAAGCTCATCTCTCATTTTCACCATCATTGGAACTAATTTATCTGTATAATCACTCTTTGGTAAGGCATTGTAAACTGAAACCTCGTCAATTAATTGTGGTACGTAATGTCCATCTTCTTTTCTTGCTGTATTTCCTTCTGTTCTGGAAGATTGATCCTTGGAATCATCTCTTGTTGGTAAATCACTTGATTCTGGCTCTTCTGAGTCCGATGTTGCGCTTGTATCATCAGCACTGCTTTGTTTTGGTCTGAAACTTGATCTCCTTGAGCCTCCAATGTTGATAGGATTATTATCTTCGTCAATAATGACTTCAGAATCATCTGTTGAGTCATCTGGCGAGCTCAGTGTTTCTAAATGATTAACTTTAAACACTCTCGGTGACTCTATGTTGCCAATTAATTTCTTTGTCTTTTTAATTGAGAAATCTACATCTAATTCTGGTGGTGGAGGGGGTGGAGGTGGTGGTGGCTTCTCTTTCTTTTCATGTTTCTTCTTCGTAACTTCTTTCTTTTCCTTTTTATCTGATTCATTTTTAACAACAACCTCTTTAACCTTCTCAATGATTCTCTCTGGCCTGTCTTTCATGAATTCATACATCTCCTGCCTCAAGAATTTGAATTGGCCTTCGAAGTCGTCAAATTTTTCATCAACATTTTTCTTCAGACTCATAAGAGCAGCAGAATCAGCAGCATTATCACCTGTCTTGTTCATTTCTATCTGTTGGGTGGTGATTTGGTTGATTCTTTCATCATATCTTTGTCTAATAAGTTGAAGATTCGTTCTTAAGTCAACCAAAGCATCTCTCATGATTCTGATCTGTTCATCGTATCTTGGTATAGTTATATTCTCAGTATCCAAAGCAGCGACCATAGAAGCGACATTTTTTTCTTGAGATTTGGTCTGTTCCGGCGGTTTTTGGTCGATAAAGAAGTAAGGAGCGAATTGTATCTTATAAACGAGCATATTCTTTTCATCAGATGTCAATATTTCTGCAGGTTCTAATTTGGGAGGTGTCTTTGGTTTTTCTGGTGAATGTGGCCTTTCTCCCATATCTGGTTTATTTTCATCCTTCTTTTCTTCAGTCTTTTCTTCCTTCTTTTCCTCTTCTTCTTCTTCGTTTGGTTTTTCTTCATTTTGTTTTTCTTTTTCTTCTGAATCTGGATTTGGCGGGTTTTCCATTGACTGAGTTACAGAAGATGGATTTGAATCACCCAAAGCAGTGTTTTTATCCTTCTTTGAGCTATCAGTAGAATGGCTACGTCTTGCGTGATGGTAATGGTGTTCAATGATTGGTTTCAATGTTTCTGCGTCAGGCTGAGAAGCTTTCATTTCTTGTACTTCATGTTCTATGTGATATAAATCATTTTCGAATTTTGTTACGACCAATTTAAGAGCTTCTATTCTTTCATTGCATTTCTGGAATTGTTCTGATATAGTACCTTTTCCAATCATTGCATCTTCAGGTCTTACATCCAATTCGAATGTGTTTGCGAACTGTTTTTGTTGAGGTTGTTGTTTTGGAGCTTGATTCAACATCTCGTTATTTGCAAATGATAATTTTAGCTCCGGAGGTTTCCTCTTTTCACCTGTTGACACTTGTCTCTTCATTTGTATAACAATTTCTGGTTCCATGACTGCTGATGTTGTTGTTTCTGTCTTTGTGTCAATAGGAACTTCCACTTTTTGTGACGGAGGAATTGAAATCATTCCATCTTTTTGTTCGACCATTGACACGAACATTGTTTTCTTCTTCGGAACATCAGCCATTGTATCTGATAATTCATTAACTCTTCTATGTATCATTTGGACATTTCCTATCCATCTGTTCAAGATCTGTTCGATATCCATAATCTTTTTATCTGTTCCAAATGGTAACATCGAAATTTTACTTTCTAATTCAGAAACTTCATCATGATACTGTGCCAATAATTGTTCGAATTTATCTAATCTCTTTGGATTTGATGCTGCTGTTAATCTCTTAACTAATTCATCTTGGTCTTCTTTAGTAAATCCATCCTTTGGATCAGCATTAATTATAATGTTTTGACTAGGAAGAGATTGACCAACAATGTTCAAATTCAACATTCTTTCCAATGACATTGATTTTTGCATTGATATTTTCTCTTCTTTTATCAAATCATGTTTAAGAACTAAATATTGTATTGAATTACTACGATTGAACTGTAACAAATTACTTGATTTCTTCGGTTCAATGTATTTCTCTGCATGTGTATCATATTGTTCCATATATGCCATATCAGGATGATCTATATTTGAATAGTTTGGCATCTCTGGTTTCTTTTCTTGTTCAACTTTGACAAATTTCGTTTCAGGATCGGAATCAATTGTTGGTAATGGTTCTTTTGTTTGTGTTTGTTGAACAGGTTGTTGAACAGGTTGTGGTGGTGGAAGGATTTGTTCTTGTCGTGTTTCTTTTGTTGCCGTGTGTTGTCTGGATGGTATTGGTGTTGTTCCCATTGATGAATAAACAGAAATGTCTGTTTGAATGTCAATATCAACGTAATCTTTGTACATAGGAACAGTTTTTGTCGATGATTCTGTGGCTGAATCGGTGAATTTCACACGAGGAGTGACAGATGCGGAATGACGGGAAGGAACAGGAGAAACACCAACGCTGACGTTCTCTATTGGTTCTGCTTCATCAACAACTTGTTCGTTTGAAACAACGGTCTCTGAAACTACTTCTGCAACACCTTTATTTGGTTTTAATGGTTTTGTATCGCCTTCTTTGTACTTTGGAGTGTTAGTACGTACTGTAACAAGTTTAACACTGTTGCTACGGATAAATGGTCGACAATAGGTGATCGGCGCTGGAGATCTGTCGATAATGAATTGGGTCTGAATCGAATTTGGCATGGACATGATGATAGGAGTGCCAAATGAGACTCTTTCGACAGGTATTGGCTCGAGCTCGGCTGGATCTGTCTGTATTTCGGCGTGATTGTACACTTTTCGAGATGAAGGAACATGAGATCGAATAGGAGATTCAACAATCACAGGAGGCTGCTCTTCTTCCTCTTCTACTTTGGTTACAGGTGGCGCTGTTGTAAATGTGGCCACTTTTGGTGAAGATTTAGGACTTTCAATTATTTCTTGTGGAGGTTCAGGTTCTTTGACCTGAGGAACTTCAACGGGGACCTCTACAGCCTTAATTGTTGGGGGTGGTGCCATCTCTGGAGGTGGAGTTGTCTCTTTAATTTGGATATCTTTATTTGATACATCTTTCAAAGCAACTTTGAGGCTCGTTAGCTCGTTTTTGAGATAATTAAATTGTTTCCTGTAGTTTGTATCGTTTTCATTAATGACTTCTTGAACATTTCCTTTCATATCATTGAAAAGTTTGTCAAAGTCAGGAAGAGCTATTGGTTCGATGGTTGGTGTCTTAGATAATGTCCTAATTTGTTCAATTTGCTTATCCATTTTAGTTACAATGTCATCAATAATTGATTTCAAGTTTGTAGTCTTTTTATCGGATTCATATCCAATCTCTGAGGTCTTCTGGTGAAGCTTATCGATATTTTCTGTAATGGTAGAGTTTGCATGCTGTGCTTTGACAAATTCTTGGTGTTGATTTTCAAATTCCACGATAATTTTATTTGTTGTCTTTGTAATTGTAGATATTTTATCTCTGTTATTTATTACATCATGAGAAAGTGCTGAAAGTTTGGAATATAAGTCAGTAATATTTGGATCTGTTGTTTCTGATTGAGGAACGTCACTTATTTCAACTTTAGGAGGGGGTTGTGAGCGTTCTTCAACTTGGTTGATTGGAGTAAGTACTAAATCATTTGCTGGTGGAACGATATCTTGATTTTTAATTGTATCTAACTTTGGTGTTGGTATTTTTTCTTGATAAGTATCATCGGTTGGTATCTGATCAATTTTAACGGATGGCATTGTTCGTTCTTCTTTCAAAAGATTGATTGTTGAGATTAATGAGTCAATTCTTTCTTTAAGTGCCTGAACATCATATGTTAACTTCTTCATTTGAACACCATCATCCTTAGGAGCAACTTCTTGAACGATTGTTTGAGGAACATATTGAACAACTGGTTCAGAAGGTTTAGATTGAGTTTGAATTATGGTTGGTGTTGGTATTTGGATGCCTGAAATACGATCGTTAAGAGCTTTTTCAGATTTGTCGAATGTTTCACGTAAATCTTTCATTTGATAATTAAAGAATTGCTTTAATTCATGAACTTCATTTGTAAAGTCTGTATTTTGTTGTTGTTGCGCTTTGGAAAGCTCATTTAATCGAATATTAATATCTCTTATTTCATCATTATCAAAACTATTCTGCGGATTTTGCTGTTTTTGCAATTTCATCTGCAAAGAATCAACTCTTTGAGCAATTTCTACGAGAACTTCTTTAATAGGCCCAGAGTCGATTCCAAGTGCAAAAACGTCGGGGTCCTGGATAAGATTTTCCAGCCCTTCCGTTGTCATTGTAAAAAATTTTAAAAACGTTCTCTATTCCCACTCGAGGGGGGCACAAACTTGCCCAGTGAAGTGAAGTGAAAAGTGACAAGTTTACATGTCAGAAATGTAAAGTGTCAGATTTGAAACAAAAAATGGATTAATTTATTATTATATGATAGAGAGATTTGGTAAGTTACTATCAAATTTGTAAGTAAGGGGGAGAAAAAAAGTAAGAAAGAAAAAAAATTTAAAAAATAAAAAGCCACTCGCTTCGCTCGCGGTTGACAAAAAGAACAAATTCGAAAAATAATTGTATGAAATTACGAAACTAAGCCACTCGCTTCGCTCGCGGCTTAAGAAAAGAACAGATTCGAAAAAAGATTGTACGAAATTACGAAACTAAGCCGCTTGCTTCGCTCGCGGCTTAAGTAAACAACATATTTCAGATTATCGATACTAAAAATTTTTTATTTTATTACTTTTTTTTGCATTTTTTTAAAGCTTCTTCACTTAAATCATGGAATGTCTCAAAGACAAAAGTAGCATACAGCATGTAAAGCTAAAGAAAGATAATCATAATTAATACCTTAATTTTTAATATTACGCATTTTTAGGTGCAAAATTTAAAAACATTCTAATACAATAGAGCAGTTTCCAAAAGTAGCATACAGCATGCAAAGCTAAAGAAAGATAATCATAATTAATACCTTTAAAGTTTAAAATCTTGATTTTTTTTAAAATCTTGATTTTTTTTAAAATCAAATATTTATAACTTTAATACATACAGCTTAAACCTTATACTTGTTTTCTCTTGTGAGAAAGCAATCTTACAAAGCTAACAATCCTAAAAAATAAAGAATTAAAATTTAATAATTTAATCTAAAATTAAAATCAAAATTAAATAAAATGAGTTCTTTGTAATAATACTTTCAAGGTAGGATATATTTTAGTGGGATCTATTGAGTCATCACTAACAGCATTGAGCAATCTATTGAGCATTGAAATACTCTCGATTTTTCTTTGTCTTTTTACATCAATTTCTGCGTTAGTTGCTTTTTCCATGATCCAAATGACACGGTCATCTGCTGGATTTTGATCAATTTTGAGTTTGATAACGAAAGATGGTATCACTTTTGTATAAATTTATATAATAACATCATCAATTCTGAGATTTTTTCGATCAGGAAAATAGTCATGTTTGAGTGTTCTAAAATGAGCTTCGGCAATATTGTTAGTTGCGTCGCCTTCACGCCTGTCACGAGCAATCCATCTTGATATGTTGTAACGCCATTGTCTGTTAAAGTATTGAGATGCTGTTAGATCTGTGTCGAGCAACTCCAGAACTTGATCATAGGCAGCATTTGCTTCTTCCCCATGTTCTGCATCTAATTTGAAGACTAATCCTTCATCAAATTATAGAATTGTTCAAATTTTTCTTGAGAAGAAAACTTATTTGATTTGCGAAGAATTGCACGAAGAACATGTACTCCGCACCAAAGTATTTGAGCTTGTGGAATGCTTTCTTCTATTGCTTGAGCTATCTGTGGAGCACAGTCCATGCTAATGTATTCTGGCTCAATTGTTACCCATCTGAGATAGGCGCACACGCAAACTTGAATGTTTTGATAAGTGTCTGGTTGACAAAAGAAATATAAAAAAGGGAAAATGTGAAAATTTTTGATTTTGCCAGTAAATGCATACAATGGAATGTTTGATCGCAACAATTTATAGGTGCTGTCTATATGAAATGTCTTGATACTATGCGCATAAGCTTTGCCTTCAAAAGGCGCGTAATAGAAACACATATTATTGTCTGAGACTTCAAATGCAATGAGATCATCTGGAGATTCTTCTTGTACTGTCTGAACAAAGATTTGCAATGACACAACATCGTCAGGAGAATATCTAGTTTGAAGAGCATGTATTCTCTCTGCAAATCGTTTGATTGCACGTGGTTTTTGAGCGTACATCTCTGGAATGGACGGACCTGTAAGAGGAATTTCAAGATCTTTGAATGCATTTAGCTGTGCTATCGCTCTTTGATTGTCATCTGTTTGGAAGTAATGTTCTAAATATTTGCGATAAAAGACAGACGAATATTGACTTTTGTCATTTGGGGCGGAATGATCATGTTCTTCAACTATTTTGATTAGTTTGTATTTATTTTGATCCAAGATTGCAACATTAAAATGTGCAGGACATTTTGGATATTTGCAGTGGAATGAAATCTGAGATCTTTCTTTCCTGACACGTTCACCATATCCATACTGTGCTTGTATTTCTTGTTTAACTCCAAATTTACAAAGATCCATAACAGTAAAGATAGTTTCTTCTTCTAATTCCATTTGAAATTGAAATGAAAATTAAAAATTCAGAAATTTGAATAGATTTGGTCTGTAATTAAATGAGAATAGCAGTTTGTTCGTCATTGTTTGAGGCAAGAGTATTATAGGAATATTATATGATGGATTTGAGTTGCATATAAAGAGTGCAAAAGGATAAAGAGAGAAATTTTGTTAGATTAAATTATTAAATTTTAATTCTTTATTTTTTAGGATTGTTAGCTTTGTAAGATTGCTTTCTCACAAGAGAAAACAAGTATAAGGTTTAAGCTGTATGTATTAAAGTAAATATTGTTTTAAAAAAAATCAAGATTTTAAACTTTAAAGGTATTAATTATGATTATTTCTTTAGCTTTATGCTGTATGCTACTTTTAAACTGCTCTATTGTATTAGAATGTTTTTAAATTTTGCACCTAAAAATGCGTAATATTAAATTAAGGTATTAATTATGATTATCTTTCTTTAGCTTTGCATGCTGTATGCTACTTTTGGAAACTGCTCTATTGTATTAGAATGTTTTTAAATTTTGCACCTAAAAATGCGTAATATTAAAAATTAAGGTATTAATTATGATTATCTTTCTTTAGCTTTACATGCTGTATGCTACTTTTGGAAACTGCTCTATTGTATTAGAATGTTTTTAAATTTTGCACCTAAAAATGCGTAATATTAAAAATTAAGGTATTAATTATGATTATCTTTCTTTAGCTTTACATGCTGTATGCTACTTTTGGAAACTGCTCTATTGTATTAGAATGTTTTTAAATTTTGCACCTAAAAATGCGTAATATTAAAAATTAAGGTATTAATTATGATTATCTTTCTTTAGCTTTACATGCTGTATGCTACTTTTGGAAACTGCTCTATTGTATTAGAATGTTTTTAAATTTTGCACCTAAAAATGCGTAATATTAAAAATTAAGGTATTAATTATGATTATCTTTCTTTAGCTTTACATGCTGTATGCTACTTTTGTCTTTGAGACATTCCATGATTTAAGTGAAGAAGCTTTAAAAAAAATGCAAAAAAATTGAATACTTTACTGGCTGGGCAAATTTGTCGCCGCCCCTTCCCTCTCAATTTTTTTATAAATTCATCTCATACAATTGCTCAAAAAAAATTAATATAATAATTTAACACACTTGTCTATGTCATTTTAAAATATGGCCAAAAATGGGTGATAAAGCCAAAATTTAACAAATTTTTTTTTGCAAATTATGATTATATAAAAAATGGTGGCATCAGTTGAAGTGTATATGTATTGAAGGTTTTAAATGTTCATGTCTGCTTGCAAATATTTTGAATAATTTTACATTTCTTGATCGAAACAGAGTTCAATCAATTCTTCCTATTTTCGAAACAAACTCATCAAATGTGTCTCAGGTATGATGACAAAATGAAATATTTTATGTGATTATTGATAATTCTATTGGAAATCGGAAATGCATTATCATAAGAGAAGTATCATTAATATTTTTCTCAGCAAATTTTTTTGGTTATTAAAATTACATTAAATGGCTCTAAATAATGGTAGGTTCATTAAAAGATTTTTATGATGGAATTTGAATCATTCTCAGAGCAAACTCTACTATTTTCCTGCAATACAAAGTTTGAATAAGATATAAAAACGACAATAAGAATTAAATAAAAAGATCACAATTGAAATTGAGACATTTATTTCAAAATATGTGCTCAAAAGGTCGGTTCGTAGTAGTATCTCCATAACAAAACTGTGAAACTGGACTGTTTTGATTTAAATCCGATGAAATATTAGAAAGAAAATAAAAGTGATCGTGACGATTATTTTTCTCTAAAATGGTCAGTCCTTTTATTGGTCAGACAAAAACAACATGAATATTGTCCATTGATTCACGCATGAATTATATCAAATTTCGTGAATCGAGCAAAAAATATTTTGAGATGGAAATGGTGGTTGCTCTAAAAAAATCATGGAAGGCCGCGTCTTCGGAGATTTTGAAGTAATCAAAAAGCTAGGACAAGGAAGCTTCGGTGAAATCTTCTTAGGAAAGAACAAGAATGATGGTACATCAGTTGCCATCAAAATAGAACCAAAGAAATCGCCAAAGAAAGTTCTTAATAATGATATCACTTTCCTTACAAAAGCTAAAGATCAAAAGTACATTCCTAAGTTCTACGCATCCGGTTCTGATGATGACTACACATGGCTTGCCATGGAGTATCTTGGTCCATCACTCGAACATATCATCAACAAACTTCCAAACAAGAAATTATCAAAGAAGTGTGCTCTCACAATGGCTAAATACATTCTTTACGCTATTGAAGCAGTTCACGAACTTTCTTACATTCATCGTGACATCAAGCCAGGAAACGTCTTGCTTAGACACTCACGCGAAGCACCAATTGCCTTGATCGACTACGGACTTTCTAAAGTTTACTATGATGAGCGTGCAAAGATGCATTTGCCTCCAAAGCCACACTGTGGATTCTTTGGCTCACTCCTTTATGCATCACCAAATACACACATGAGACGTGATTTGGCTCGCCGTGATGATATGTTCTCATGGTTCTACGTTCTTGCAGACCTCCTTACAGATAATCTTCCATGGAGAGACAACAAGAACCCACAGGAGGTTCTTAACATTAAGGCTAAGTATGACGTTGCTCCTCTTATCGAAATGGTTCCACAAATCGAAGAGATCTACAAACAGATTATTAACATGCAGTACGTCTCAAAGCCAGATTACGAGGGATTCCGCAAATTGCTCAATGAAGCCATTGCTGCTTGCCCTGATGGTAATGAATTCGATTGGCATCCAGATCTTTTCAATATGGATGCTGCTCCGGAAGTTTAAGTTTATTTATGCATAAAGTTATAAAGTTCTTCTGTTTCATACCAACTTTTTTTATTTTTATTGAAATAATCAAAAAATTCTATGTTATTATTTCATTAATTGATGTTTTAAAAAGAAAATATTGATTATATTGGCTTGTGTTTTAAGTATATACGTTAGGATAATTCAATTCCATTTTGGTCGATACATTTCAAACAATTATGCGAAATATGTTCTTGAATATATCAAAACTTACTTACCTTTCCCAATGGTGCCTACTAATACAAGTCCATCAATAGAGATCATTGAATATGATTAATTTTTTGAATCTCTAAAGAGTTTACATTGTCAAAAAAAAATCAATATTGACAGTTTACAAAATTTTTCAAAACGCACTTTTGTTAGCTATTCATTTTCAAATTGCGATGTAAAATGTTATAAGGAAATCTAGCTTTGTTTTAAAAGAGCGCAATATAAGCTACGTAGTAATTTGATGTTAGTAAATGGAAATATAGATTTTTCGGAAAGATGAAGATATTTATTTAATAACATTCAAAAAAAAATAATAAAATATATGCCTTTCTACATGGTGTAAGCCACAATTCTAATGTACAAATGATGGGATCTCATCAGAAAATGAAGCAAACTGAGCCGCTGCATCTGGTGGCATTGTTGCTTTCTCTTGTACTATCTTTTCTAAGGTCTCGCGTAAGCTTTGATGTAGCTTCAAATGCTTAGCCGCAAATGCTGCGTGGATTTTCTGTGATACCTGAGATATAAAATCTGCATGCTCTGGCTGACGTTTATCTGCATTAATTTTATAAAATACGGCAGTAATTATGTCGTCTTTAAGCAGCAGACCTAAATTTAAGTAACGTGTTTCAGAATTTTGTGAAGCTAATCTTGAAGAAGCAGGAGGCTCGTTTTCTTGTGGTTCGAATGAAGCAAATTGAACAGTGCCGTCATCAAATTCAGTTGAAAGCTGAAGTAAAACTTGGCACAATTTTGCAATGGTAACATGTTCTGTTGTATAACGCCAGTCAATTGATTTTTCGGCGAGGACGGTTCCACTTATATTAGATGAAATCACAACGCGAAGAATTTTAACTGGATTTGGTGGAGAGCTCATCAAAAAGTAATCTAAAAAGTGAAAAACTGAATCAATTTTTCTAAGCAAAATTTTCAATGTTGATTTTTTTATAAATCTGGCATCTTGATAATATGTTAAAGCATTTCGATTAAACTGTTTGGAGAAAGATCGAAAAAAATGCTCAAACATTAATAAAATACGCCGATCAATTAAACCTGATAGGGGTGTGGTTTCTTCCTATAGACCAAAGTAGTAGATTTCAATTCAAGATGTTTTTTTATGATATATTGAACAAATTTTTTCATTAGAAAGATAGATCAATTAAAGAATAAATATGAAGGATGTTATACAAACAAATATTTATTACAAACATAATCTTTTCTATGGTACACCATGAAATCCAAATAAAATATAGAATAATAAAGTCAATAAAAGCCTATAGTTGCTTGAGAACAAAGTATTCCATCTGGCATATTATAAACAGTAGATCGGATATGATATTATCCTGGCGTAAAATCGGATACTTCTGTTTGGTTTGAAATATTAAAATATGAAAAATCGAATTCGATACTTAGCTTTCTGAATCGATTTCTTCTGGTTCTTGTTCTTTTTTTTGAAACTTTGCACGAAATTTTTTATAGTAATAAGTGAAATATTTTCCAAAAAAGAAACTAATAATCTCAAAAAGAGTCTCGCCCTTATCTTCTTCGATCTTGGCGGCAATATCTTTTGTGAGTATATTTTCGTATAGATAAAGATAATTATCGTACCATAATGTAGTATCATTGACTACAATACTATGCGTAACCCAACTTATCTCATCTTTTGGATCGAATAAATCGAAAATATCTCTAACTTTGCAACGAAACGGAATTAAAATTTTAACACGAGGTTTATCATTGATATTAATATAAAATTCGCACATTCCACGTTCGTCTGGTTCGACATCTGATGCTAATATTCGCTCTGTTTCGTTAGTTTGTTGCTGATTATTCTTTTTCTTTCCATTTTTCATTTTTTGAAATTTGCAAGTGTTTCGATTGACCAAATAATACGTATCGTTTTTAAACTATTTTATATGATTTTATTATTCTCTGGGATGAATGGGATGAAGTAGACTAATAAATATTAGTAAGGCAGTTGGAAATCGCCTGAAATAAGGATGATGAGGAAACTTTACAAAACGATTATTTCATTTTCAATCAAAATTCAAAAGTTCTCAAATTAAATTCATTAGAATAAATGAGTGGAAAATACTGCATTGCAGGTATGAAACAAGAAAAGAGAGAATGCTGCGGAGGAAAGAGTCACAGCCAGTGCTGTGGTGAGAAGAAGGACGGTCAGTGCTGCAGTGGCGAAAAGAAAGAGGCTCAAACATGCGGCTGTGGAAAACCAAAGGAGAACCAATCATGTGGCTGCCACTAAATAATCACTTTTAGTAAAAATAGATGATCATTAATACTGTAGTCAATAAATTTTTAATTTGGTCATACGAAAGTTCGGTTTTTGATTATACAATGAACCATTCAGGAGCTTTTTATAATAAAGATTGATTTATTGAAGCAATAACATGAAAATTTATTCTACCAAAATTTTGGCGCGGTTCAATTTTAACGACATTTTTTAACGCGATACGAGCGTAAGTCCATAGAATGTGTTTTGAGGGAAACTATAAAAATCCAAAATAGAGGTAAGTGCGCCATTATTACCTGCGAAGTTACATGGAATAAATCGAAGAGTAAGTACAAGATGATCTTGCATCTTTCCAAGTAAATGAAATTTATTAAAATTAAGATGATAATATTCATTTATAGTATGTGTATGATGTTTTTTCAAAATTTCTTCAAATAAAATGCAATGATAATTTTTGAATAATTTTTTTCTTGTGTATATTTCATTTTTTATTAGTGAAAATATCATTACATCAATAAGGAAAGCACAATCCAAATTCATATTAGTTAAATTAATATACGACCAAAAGTGCTTACTCTTAAACAACCGTCGGATTTCCGGGTGAAATCGTGACACACTTTCGTCTTTCGTAGGCAGTGGTGGTTGTTACAAAAGGTAACTTCGAATGTAGCGTGAAATCTGCAAAAAAAATTCTGAAATTTGAATGGAGAACACAAAAATTGAATAGTTTACGTCAATAAAAAAGAGAAAAATGAAGCCAATGTGTCTCGAACCTAGGACTTAGAGCAGCAATCCCATTGTTTATCCCATTACACTAGATGCGTCTCTCACCTCAGTGAATGAGATCAACTATAGCAACTTGTGGAAAAGTGACAAATAGCAACTTTGACCCTCTCTCTGCATTTTATTTGAAGAAATTTTGAAAAAACATCATACACATACTATAAATGAATATTATCATCTTAATTTTAATAAATTTCATTTACTTGGAAAGATGCAAGATCATCTTGTACTTACTCTTCGATTTATTCCATGTAACTTCGCAGGTAATAATGGCGCACTTACCTCTATTTTGGATTTTTATAGTTTCCCTCAAAACACATTCTATGGACTTACGCTCGTATCGCGTTAAAAAATGTCGTTAAAATTGCCCACACGCCAAAATTTTTCTATGCTATACCATGTCTATCATGTGGCTACAAGCAATAATTATTGAATAAAATTAATACTATTTGCTTGCCACAATTATTATCTTATAATATTGAAAAAAAATAATGTTATAAAACATCATATAAAGGATAACAGTATTTCATAATCAAGTATCCAGATTTTCTGTAGCAAACATAGCTTCCTAACATCTATTAGCCATGAATTGAAATGGGTCATAATTAAATTTGAACAATTTAAGGAAAAAGAGTGAGAGAATACTAATTTTATGTATTTTTATAGGGCTGTACAAGATTTAAAAAAACATTGCCGGGTTACCGTAGAGGCCTAAAAAATCGCGCCTCGGCGGCAAGCCGCCTCGGCATTAAGAATGCGCATCTAAATTTTTATATGTCCTTCTTTCTTTTATTTTTCCCTTCCCTTTCTTTTCTTTTTCTTTTTTTCCCTCCTCTTGCTCTCATTTACCTTTTTTTTCCTTTTCTCATCATTTTTCAAAATTTTAAATTTTTATCAAAAATCTTGCCTATAAAAGCAGACTATGGAACCTTTTAATGCCTCTTAATCAATATTATACAGCATAAAGCATATTAAATGAAAGTAATTACGTATAAATTTATTATTATCTTATTTATTAATTCTTTAGCATGTATTGTTTAATATTAACTTTTCTGTACATTAAATATGATATCTCCAAAGTATGAATGCCTTGTAACGAAACGAAAACTTAATTTTATGTTGAATATTTGTCACAAACATTAGATTATTAAAATATATGTTGGATATCCCTTAGTATGAGACTTCATGACTCTTGTAGTCTAACGTGAGCTTTGGATTGCAAGCTCTGTGGTTAACGAACATAAATTAATTGTAAAGTTTTCAAAATTTTTCATCGTTTCTATCAGCATCTATTTTTCCTTTAAAATAATATATTTGTATGAATACAATATTTAGTAATTTTTTATTTCCCATAATTTCATTCAAAATTTCAGAAAAAATTAATTTCTATTCAATATTATTTCAGCTTCAAAACACTTCATTCTTATAGATGTTGATTCACTAAAGTGTGATACTCAATGTCTTATTTCAATGAAAATTGTTCTGCAAATTTATTTCACTTTTGACCTCACTTTTCCGTAATTCAATTTTTTACTTTTAATATTTTAGATCTTCATAATATCATTTGAAAAATTAACCATATAAAAAAATCAAGTTATCAATTCACTTTTTCCGTAATTCAAAAATCAAAAATATAAATAATATATCTTTTTATCAAATATTATTATTATATTCTATGAAAAATGAGGTCCGGAAATTTTGCGGATTCCCGTAACTCAATTTTACGGAAAAAGTGCAGTAAACTATTCAAAATACGGGGAAATTGGTGTAAACTAATGATTTTACGGTAAAATCACGGAAAGTCCCGGAAGAATATATGTGCCTATATGAAATTATACAAAAATGAATCAAACGCATTTTAAAAGATTGTTCTTGTATTATAAATGCTATTCGCAGATTTATTAGTTGAAGAAAATTACCAAATTTTTGCCGATTTACAAAAAATGATTTACAAAGCATATTTTTATAAGGCTTTAAAAATCTTTAAAATGTGACCGGTGACGGAAATCCATGGTAACCAACCGCGGTTCCCGTTTGGAATGCCATATATTTTTAATATCAAAACTGTAGTTATTTATGGTAATAATCACAGAGCATCATGTAACTCAAATTGAGAAACTCTGGTTGGTTGCCCTTTCTAATGGCTGACCGCGTTGTCCCCACTGGCGATGAGAAGAAGGAGATCGTTGAGGATCTTCCAGTTCAGAAGATTCGCCTTACAATCACATCTTCTAAGCTTCCAAACCTTCAGAGAGTTGTCGGAAATCTTATGGGCAAACTAAAGAAGGGCAATCTTGAGGTCCGCGGCCCAATTCCAATGCCACGCCGCCGCCTACGCATCACAACACGTCGTGCTCCATGCGGTAACGGTACTGAAACATACGATCATTTCGAGCTTCGTATCTACAAGCGTGTTATTGATTTCCAGGGCACTGCTGAAGCTGTCAAGCAAGTTACACAGATCGCCCTTGAGCCAGACGTCCATGTTGAAGTTTCAGTTATTACAGAGTAAATTATTAAAATTTCATTGAAATAAAATTACTGAGCTTTTCTATTAAATGTAATCAGCTTGCTCCAAGATTTAGTCTTACTTTTAAATAAAATTAATTATTATTTAACACAAATACTAAAAAATGAAATATCATACGACCATGGTCATTAAAATTTACTTTTTTGTGTTATGTTGCTTTAGCTTTATAAATCAATGATATATAAGACAAATAAAAAAAAGATATTCAAATATGATATAAAAAGAATTTATTCCAAAACAATTTCACGGATTTGTGGGAGAATTCCATCATAAGCAAGTTTGAGGCGCTCATTCAAAATGTTGGATAGGCGAATCTTTCCTTTATGGCATGTGAAAACTACGCCGCCTGCGCAGTGAGGATCTGCAGGAAGATATCTCTCTTCATCAACGATTAACTTGCAATCAAGATTTGGATCTACTGATTTGACCATCTCTAGTGCCTTTGGAATGATGCTATTGCAAATTTCGACATCAGCTTTTCTTACTGTAAGTCTTACACGTTGTTCCTTTAAAATTATTACTCCTTCGGCTATAAGTTTAGCAAGAACAAGTGGATAATCTGGTCCTTTGCTGAATTCATTGAGTCTATTCTTTGCTTCCTCTAAGCATTCATTCAAAGCCTTCTTCTGTGCCTTAAGGATCTCAAGCTTTGCACTGTTAGTAATTTTAGCATTTTGAATTTGTCTATTAACTTCAATTTCCTTTTCTTGGCGTTCAGCTTCGGTTTGGAGATTGTTTGTTGTTAAAGAAATCTGTTGGTCGTAGTATTGGTCTGCTATCTTAGCAGCTTCTGTTTGCTTTTCGATGGCAATTGATTCTGCTTGTTCTCTAAATAATGCACACATTTGCTCAACGCGTTGCTGAGGAGTCGAAGCCATATTACTTGTAGAATATATCCTTCGATTAAAGACGATCAAAAATCGTTACTTTTCTCTTGATTAGTTTTTTGAAAAAAAAGTCGCCAAAGAAATATTTTCATAGCCTCTTAGAGCATCATATTATAATAAATCGAAGAACATTAATACTTCACTACATACCTGTAATAAACAGAAATTCATCAAAAGTGACAGCTCTCAATTTTTTGACATTTGTAAATTCTAAATTGAATGAGAAAAATGAAATAATACTAAGCATAATACAATATTCGAGATTTAATTATAATTAGGAAAAAGTTAGTTTTGAGAGTACTTTTCATAGGCATATAGAATGAAATCTTCTGAAAAATAATATCACATAAACTCATATTATTTTCTAATATATAACTATTTTATATAAAAATCAAATTCAATGATCTTAAAAGCGAAGGATAAACCTCAAAATTTACGAATATAATGAGTGGGAATATAATGCTTATCTATCATAAAACCATATGAAATATTAATTTTTGCTTTACGCCTAATTTTTGACGACAATTAGCAAAAAATGTTAAATGTTAACACTCAGTCCATTTGAATATGAAAAATAAAATTGACTTTGATTAAATGTTTTTATTTATCATGCAATTCTTCTTGCGACCAAAGATTTGAATAAAAGTTCAAAAAATAAGATAGCTTAAAAAATAATATACGGTAGTGTTTACTAATAGATGAATAGTATATAAATTCTATTAAAATGGATTTGATCCAAAAAATATATAAAATTTGATCATAAATAAAATCGTTTTAAATTACTTCTTCATTTAAATTATAACAATTATTTTTGGTTTTATATTTTTTTGGATCAAATCCATTTTAATAGAATTTATATACTATTCATCTATTAGTAAACACTACCGTATATTATTTTTTAAGCTATCTTATTTTTTGAACTTTTATTCAAATCTTTGGTCGCAAGAAGAATTGCATGATAAATAAAAACATTTAATCAAAGTCAATTTTATTTTTCATATTCAAATGGACTGAGTGTTAACATTTAACATTTTTTGCTAATTGTCGTCAAAAATTAGGCGTAAAGCAAAAATTAATATTTCATATGGTTTTATGATAGATAAGCATTATATTCCCACTCATTATATTCGTAAATTTTGAGGTTTATCCTTCGCTTTTAAGATCATTGAATTTGATTTTTATATAAAATAGTTATATATTAGAAAATAATATGAGTTTATGTGATATTATTTTTCAGAAGATTTTGTGTTCTTCTTCAAAATTTTATTTTTTTATTAAAAAGAATCTTTACAAAATATACATTTACTTTAATTAATATTTAAAAACGTGCTCTATCAAAAGTTCCAAAAATTCAATATTTTAGCTTTTCTGAGGTGTCACTTTTGATGAATTTCTGTTTACAACACATACCTACATATCCTTTGTCTTTATTCTTTTTATTTTTATTTCTACACCGTATAGGAAATGAATGTCACAACAAATCATTGACAATAAAAACAAAATTTCAGGGAAATGAATTTTGAGAGAAATCCCAATGAATTCATTTTTGAATTACCCTATAATTTTATGAATATGGCACTTTTCGTCGATTTTCAAAGAATTAAATCGCTTCTATCTCAATAACTAATAAACATATAAGATTTTTGAAAGTATATATATAGTGTACTACATCTCAAGATATTATTAATATGTATTAGAAAGAATAATATATTGGATTTTGATATCACAAAATGACTTTTCAATTTATTGTAGTTCCTCACAGAGTTGAGATTCTACAAAATTCTTTGCAGATAATTTATGAAGGGATGATAGACTAACGAAGGATAGATACATGAATTGAAAATAAAAAAATCGATTAAATATGAACCTTCATAAACCGTTTAAGAAACTTAAAAACTATTCTTTATTGTTTATTTTGGACGAAGTTTAATATGATTGTGGTTTTATTGGACAATAATCGAGTAACGGAAAAATATAACATTTATCTATAAAGTGAAAATTTAGAGGTATATTTCGTAAGATATTTCCTCTCTGATTACAAGAACTATTGTGAGCTATCAATCTAATGAAAGAGAGCAGATTTGGCCGTAATGAAAATGCAATACTTCGAAAATCAATGCAAAAAAGATTAATTTGTTAGAAACAATCGACTATGACACTGAATTCTAAGAGCAAACATTTACATTAGGATATTTTGATCATTTTCAAATATTGCAAAATTGCATTTAAACAAGTTAAGGAGAATACTATATTAACCGTGTTGTAAGGAAATATAACAATTTTAAAGATTTTGCGACAGAATTTGAAAAAATATGAAAATCAGATATATAAAAATTGAATAAAATAACATTATGATGGAATATAAGTAGATGAGCTATTAATGCTGCTATGATTTAAAATTGAGTAGTAATGAAATAGAATTTCGATTAAAAAAATTAATGTAATTGTATGAAAGCTTTGATCCAAATAATTAATATTCGCAAATATTTTAACCTACTAATAAAATTCTGATTATATTAAGATATTTTAAAAATGAGATTCCAAATTGAATGGTGATGGAGATGAAAATTTTTAAAAATATAAATAAGAGGATAAATTGATTGAGATATTAACTAGTAAATATTTGAAAAAGTAAATTATTTGAAATCCTTTAAAAATGTTACGGATAAAAGCTATATAAATAAAATGACTGGTGTGGTTGGTTAGCTTAATGTGTAATATCAAAAAGAATTAATGGGTGTTGTGAAGTGAGCAACTTTGAGAAGAATCATTTGTGATTCTTGTCAAAGTTGAATCAAAGACAACAATTGATAGACAATTGTTGTCTTTGTGTACAACATTCACTTGAATTATAAACAATAACAAGTGTTTGTTGTTCACTGAGCAACTTTGAGAAGAATCATTTGTGATTCTTGTCAAAGTTGAATCAAAGACAACAATTGATAGACAATTGTTGTCTATGTGTTCGTTAAACACGTGTTATTTATGAATATACACGTGTTTGTTGTTCACTGAGCAACTTTTAGAAGAATCATTTTGTAATACTTTGAAACACAAAATAGCATATTATGCTTTTATTTATCTATATGTGTCATTTTGGGAGACATTGTCTATGCAAGTCTCCCAGAATGACACATTCATACACAATCTTCTTCTGATTGTGTATCTTTTGTCAACAAAGTGCAACAGTGCACTGTTATTGTGTGCTATGTGTCATTGTGGGAGACATTGTCTATGCAAGTCTCCCAGAATGACACATTCATACACAATCTTCTTCTGATTGTGTATCTTTTGTCAACAAAGTGCAACAGTGCACTGTTATTGTGTGCTATGTGTCATTGTGGGAGACATTGTCTATGCAAGTCTCCCAGAATGACACATTCATACACAATCTTCTTCTGATTGTGTATCTTTTGTCAACAAAGTGCAACAGTGCACTGTTATTGTGTGCTATGTGTCATTGTGGGAGACATTGTCTATGCAAGTCTCCCAGAATGACACATTCATACACAATCTTCTTCTGATTGTGTATCTTTTGTCAACAAAGTGCAACAGTGCACTGTTATTGTGTGCTATGTGTCATTGTGGGAGACATTGTCTATGCAAGTCTCCCAGAATGACACATTCATACACAATCTTCAATTCTTGTTTTAATTTTGTCTCATATTAACTGAATATCTCTTTTCAACACGTTCACTTCTAATACCCGACAATAACCTATCATAAAACCCCTAAAGCCACTTTTTCTTCTCTATTTACTTTTAAATTCTGAGATTCAAATTTTGTTCTATTTCATTCAGTTTTCTTTTATCAAAATCATATAACCATTCATACTGATTCTTAATTTACTATATTACATTGAGATTTCATCTTTTTTCATATTTCGAATTAAATCAGCTATTTAAACCTAATATCCGGACCTGTCAGTATTCAAATATTATTGGCCACATGTATCTGAGCATTTACACGGATTTTACCAAATTTTGCAAAAAATGTGTTATGAGATGGGTGTTTACCCACGTTTTGCAAAAAAAACCAAAATGATAGAGTGGGTCATAAGGATCAGTTTTGCTATAGCTTGTCCGGCTTGAAACTCAATATTCATTCGGGAAAAGACGTTTCAAAATTTTGTAAAGTATTCAAATTTGCAGCTTTGTTCGATTTGAAAATTGAAATTTGAAACGAAATGACTGTATGAATATGTTCTTCATATTGAATCTAAGCATTTCTTGGAATTTGGAGTTTTTCTAAAAAGTTTTATCGGTTGAAAAATTAAAAATAAAACAAAAGAATTTTTTTCCGATTTTTTAAACGCATCTTAATTTTTAACGGACGAAGGAGTATTTGATCAAAGTTCAATAAGGCTATCACACTATATTATAGTTAGCTTGCAAAGTAAGCAATATAATCTGGAATTTAATAACTTCATAAAGATTTGATAAAACCATTTTTGTGTAAATTAGTATTTAATAGGAAAATATGAAATTAGATTAGTCAACCATATAAATTGTTATTATATGAAATGATAACAATTGATAAAACATACAGATTGGAAGATTAGGTGAATTTTTGTGCTGAATAGGTGTGTTTGTATGTAATGCCTCTATAGTATATTCATAATAAAAATTAGTATACTATAAAAACTTGATTTGAGAAGAAAATTAATGTGGAATAAGAAGATTGTAGAGAAACGTCTCATTCTGTGAGACAGTCACAAATAATATCTCCTTACCATATCAAATCCTTAAATTTTATATATGCTATTTTTTAATCTTTTTAAAATTTCTCTTTAACTCTCTTCAAAGACTTTCTTTTATGTCAAAAATTTGTTTCACTTTGCCCCAACTCATATACTCTAAAAATAATAACAATAGCCAAATATATAAAATTAATTTTTAATTCATTAAAATTATATTTATTCAAAGTAAATCCTCATATAAACTTCTATGAACCATCCTCATCTGTTAATTCAATCAAGTATTCTAAGAAATTTGGGCAATTTTCTTCGAATAATTGGCTCTCATATGATAAATCTATTAATTCAATTTTGTCATGCATAAAATCATACTTTCAGAATATGCAATAGCATTTTGCAAGAGCCAACAATAAATCAATTTTAAATCTTAGACTGTTATTATTAAATGATTCAAGTAGTCCTTCCTCCAATAAAAAGTGGTACATTATTTGTTGATCGTTCTGTGAAAATTCGAAATTTAAGATACAATAGCAAATTATCTGGGCAAACCCAAATTTTAGCTAAAAGTGACAGGGAAAAAACGTTTAGTATTAAAAAAAAAAGACCGATGAGAGCTTCGTTCGAAATATAGAGGGAACTGAGAATGCGCAACCATTCTCAGGGAATATTGGATGCTATTCCCGTTCCCTCTGTATGGAAAATTGAGGTTTTCAAAGGGAGTTAAAATAATATCAAATTTATACTAATTTACTTCAAAATACAAAAGTATTTGACAGCTAAAATTAGTTACTTTAGCAAGCCTATCAATACCCTTTTACGATTATTGCTACTTTTTCGAAATAAAAGTAAAAACAAATTTATACTAATTTACTTCAAAATACAAAAGTATTTGACAGCTAAAATTAGTTACTTTAGCAAGCCTATCAATACCCTTTTACGATTATTGCTACTTTTTCGAAATAAAAGTAAAAACAAATTTATACTAATTTACTTCAAAATACAAAAGTATTTGACAGCTAAAATTAGTTACTTTAGCAAGCCTATCAATACCCTTTTACGATTATTGCTACTTTTTCGAAATAAAAGTAAAAACAAATTTATACTAATTTACTTCAAAATACAAAAGTATTTGACAGCTAAAATTAGTTACTTTAGCAAGCCTATCAATACCCTTTTACGATTATTGCTACTTTTTCGAAATAAAATAAATTTATTATCAAAAACCTTTTTTTCTTAGTAAAAATAAACGAAATTTTTTACCTTATGAACTTTTGATGGAAATATGCAAATTTAAAATAATAAAGAAAGCCGCGAGCGAAGCGATCGGCTTAGTTCGAAGATTTTGATTCAAATCTTTGCTGATCTGTAATTCGCGGAAGCCGCGAGCGAATCGATCGGCTTAGGTCTAAGATTTTGATTCAAATCTTTGCTTATATTCCTTAAATTCTTTATGAAACTCGCAACAGTTCCATAAAAAATTTTAAATTCTAAACTGTCGAAATTACCGATCGGTAATCACACCCTTCATGGGTGTGTCACTTTTTACAGGCGTGTCACTTTTAGCTAAAATTACCCCTACTCTAACAATCCGGGTAAAAACAAGGATATTTTCGTCAAATGCATCTATTTTGTCAACAGGAAATGGTATCTTGGAGACACAATCACCAATATCAATATTTTCAACATCTTGTTTATAAGATTTGATATTCATTAAAATTTGATATAAAAAAGTAAATTCATTGCTCAGAAAATTGAGAAAATTGAGAGTAACCGCCAAATAAGATTTTTAAAAATAAAGAACTAAGGGTACAGTATATGAGAAGGAAGAATCCAAAATTTTATTTTTAAGGTTTTGCAAGAAATATTTTTATTAATAAACGGTAGAATAATAATAGGAATATCGATATTAAAAAAGAAATACATGAAATAAATAAAAATTTGATTCAACTTTGACAAGAATCACAAATGATTCTTCTCAAAGTTGCTCAGTGAACAACAAACACTTGTTATTGTTTATAATTCAAGTGAATGTTGTACACAAAGACAACAATTGTCTATCAATTGTTGTCTTTGATTCAACTTTGACAAGAATCACAAATGATTCTTCTCAAAGTTGCTCAGTGAACAACAAACACTTGTTATTGTTTATAATTCAAGTGAATGTTGTACACAAAGACAACAATTGTCTATCAATTGTTGTCTTTGATTCAACTTTATTAAAAATTTTAATTATATCTTTTAATTTATATTTATTTACGTTCACATTTCTTTTATATCCTTTATATTAATATAAAATTTCGGTTGATCTTCACTCTTTTTCACATATTTTTTCAATAAGATACCCAATTTTTGTATTTATTCTGATTAATATTTTTCACTGTTAATTTTATTGATATCTCAAACTATTTCAACATTTAGTTTTTTAAAAACTCTATTTTTTGTTCTCTCTCTCAATTTTCAAAAGTCATTAATTTTGCATTACTTTATTTAAAATATAATTAACATTGGATAAAAACATTTATTATAATGCCATTTTGGATCAATCTTATGATATTTCAAATCTTTTAAAATACACTCATTCATAACAAATAGTTGCCCTAGACATGTGCGTAACCTCTGTGTACGATATTCCAACACCTTACGACCTGTATGCAAGTTTTTAATTATTGAATAAAAAAACAACAACATACCGTACTTCGAGTATAAAACATGTATACCCTAATAAAAACAAAAATTAGGACATATTTGATTTATGATTTCTTTTCACAAATCGAAATTTTGATCTCTCAATTTTAAACATTTTTCAAAAAAAAACTTATAAATATATTTCTTATTGTATAATATTGAAAAATAAATCATCATGGATGAATATTACTAGTACTTCAGAATTATTTATTTTTTTCGATCTAAATATAGAAATAATATCTACTCTATATAAAAATAACAATTATTTAATTTTATTGAAATTTTTATTATTTGATTAATATATTTTATGTGATATCTTAAATAGCAATAAAAACTACACCACATAGTTATTCTAGGGTACCTTCATCTACTTCTAGAATTATAGGCTCTGGATTCGAATCTATGGTGCGCTATTGATAAAGTAAATTTCTCCATAGGCCCCCAAAAAATTGACAACCCAGGAATTATAGGGTATTTTCTTAGAATCTCAGTCAGAACTAAAGCTTTGAGTGTATGATTTGTGGAAATGGTTCTTCACATCACTTCCAATGAATTCTTTTGACTCGTGGAATAAATTTTTAAAAAATGACTAAGATTTTATCGAGTCATTCAAATTTAAAAATGGATCATCCAAAAGAGTCTTCATTAAAAATGATGCTCACTCCCAACAGTTGGTTTGGCTCAAATTATAAAGATTCCAGGTCAACTTCAATTGAAATTTCCGAACTTCACAAGTATCATGTTTTTATTCCCGCGATCATTAGTTACGATACTTCCCCTTCAAATTGCTATATTGAATATGAAAATACTGGAACTATTCTTCATGAATATAAAGTACCTGTTGAGATTGGAATAAAGTATAGCTGGATTTATTTTATAGCTGATCAATTAGAACTTTTACATGCTAACGGATACAAGCATCGTAAAGTCAGTTCTTCCTCAATAAGAATCGATACAAATAATTTTCCACATTTAGCAGAATATGAAGAAGCAGCAAAAGTTATACCGTATTCATCTTCGAATTTTCATGGATCTGGCATGTATTCAGCTCCCGAAGTTTTGGAAAGCGCTAATTACACTCCTAAATCCGATATTTATTCTCTCGGATGCCTTTTCTACTTTATTTTTACGCGAAACGAGCCATTTTCGAGGGTTGAACGCCTTTATAAACATCTTATGTTAAAAATAGATACATTTGAAGGGGCTTTAAATTCAATAACTATAATTGAACAAAATATGGATAGTTCTGATTGCTATAACGAATGCGACGTTATTATCGAAGCTTTGAAAATACTTGAAAATTCGGGAATTCCAAAAATCTCAAAACCTCTTGAAGATAAAAACTATGCACTAAATGACTTGATAGATGACTTGACAGATGACAACACAAATACCTTCAGATTCCTTAAAGAGCTAAAAACGATGTTTTCAAATGCTCTTCAATACGTTAAGGATTCTTATGAAAAAAAAATGAAGAAGATATGCAAAGAAGAGAGTTCTTCGTGTGTTACTGAAGATTACCCACTTAAAGACATTGCTATTCAATGTTTGGCAACTAATCCGGAATCCAGACCAAATGCAGGCGAAATCAAGAAAATGATTCTTGAAGAGGCTGAGAAGTTGCATGAGGATCAAAGAGCTGTTTTTAATTTGCAAATACAGAAAGGTTATCTTAAAATTGCCGAGAATTTAATCAATCACAATGAATACGATTTGGCAATAGAGAAACTCAGTAAGATAAATCTCAAAGAATTGATCCCCGAATACGAGAGATTAAGAAGTTTAATTCCATAAATTATATTATTTGATTTTTGCTATAAACATATTATATATTATATTAAAAATTGCAGTATTTCAATTCAATTAATTCATAAAATCTCAAAAAATGAAAAAAAAAATCAAAATTTGATTATTCCATGAAACCGGAATTTTATTGCTTGGGCATTTCTAGTCTGGTTTATCAGATGATACATGTGAGATCAAGACCTCAATTTTATCGAAGAAAAAAAACAACTTCACCCTTTCTGGTCTGAGTGATGAGTTGTAGTTTTTAGAATATCTAGAAAACGCTATATAGGATGATTAATTCAAAGTTGCTCCCATTTTTAGATCATTCAAATTGAATTGAATTTCTTCCTGAACTAAATGCTTTATGAAGGTATTAATATGTTTGGAATTATATGAACAAATAAATAGAATTAATTTTTTAAACCATAACAATAAATATCTGATTTTAGTCAATAATTACTCTTTTGCATCAGCCTTTCCATCTACATTTTCATCAACAGCATCATCTTCAACATCAGCTTCAGCTGGTTCTGGTTCATTTGAAGGAGGAACCCAAGCATCAATATGTTCGACCAAGTATTCAAACTTTGCGATGTTTGTCCAGTCTTGTTTGATTAAATTGGAGGATGCCCAAACTAATGTCTGAACAAATTCCACAAATGTAACTTTACACTTCATAAATGATGTAAAGAACTTGCGGAATTCGTTGGATTCTTCTTCACTAACAGCTCTAGAAACTCCGGAGTACTTAATAAATAATAAAATCTGCATAACTGTGAGATCGCCGCTTTCAAATAGTCCACGTTTGCCCATAAATAGGATTAAGTCTCTAACTGTCATTAATCCGTTATATGAAACAATATCAACGTCGACATTTGAATCTAATTTAACAGCAGCGTCAAGTTGCTTTGTCTGGAACTCCGAAGTACCGCTAGAATAGCCACAGAATGATAAGTAAAGATCTAAAAGCTTTGGAGAAACTTCTGTAATCATATCATCAAATGCTTGTTCTGAAATTGAGCGTCTGAATGTTGACCACTCATTTTCTGGTTGTGTATCATCAACAAAAATGAGGTTTTCTAAGAATCTTGTTACTTGTAAAATCAATGAATCTGGGAATTGGCTTCCAAGTCTATGATGAGCAAGGCGAACCAAAGATTCGAAGAGCTGGTAAAGGAATAATGTTGCAAATGGATCTGGAGCGTCAGAAAGTGGGAAGTTTCTGAAAGCAGATTGAGATATATCTTCAGAACTCATTGAAAATCTGTATGTTGATCTCAAAAGTGGTGATGATTCTTTCTTGCTAAGTTGTGTATTCTCTTCTTCATGAACAGAAGGTTTTTCGAGGTTCCATTTAATAACGTCATCTGCATCTGTCAAACGGAAGTCGGGATCGAGGATTGTACCTTTATCTTGGATGAATCTCCACATACCGATCATTCTGAGAGCTGTAATTGTTTTATCATCTGCCCATTGTATACGAGAATACTGTTGGTAAAGAGCACGAAGCTTTGGAAGGAAGCGAACGTAAATGTTGCAAAGGGAATTCATGACTTCATCCGCTGATTCTGATGGAGCCAATAATCCTTCGAGAGAAAATGAAAGAGAAATTGATGGAGTGGGAACGAAAAGTTGACCATTTTGGTAAATTGAGCCTTCGCGGAATTCACTTTCGTAAACACGACCATCACGAGAAGTAAATGTACCTTGGCCGTTCTTTAAGTTGTTTTCCCACTGTCCTTTATAGACAGCACCATTTGCGTAGTAGAATGTACCCTTTCCATTGCGGAGTGAGTCTTTAAATTCACCGAGATATCTGTTTGATTGAACAAATTGAACTGATGGAGCTTGAGCAGAGAATGCGTAAACAATCTCACCATTTCCTTCCATTTTACCATCAATGAAATCACCAATGTAATATGAACCGCTTTCTTTCCATAAGAATTTTCCTTTTCCGTGGCGTTTATCGTTGAGCCACTCGCCTTCGTAAACATTTCCTGTAGGATAGTGCATTGTTCCCTTGCCATTTCTTAAGCCATTCTCAAAATGACCTTCATAATAATGTTCGCAGCCTTCTTCGCCATAATAGCAAATTCCTTCTCCATGGAATTGTCCATTATGCCATTCTCCGTCGTAAACGAAAATCTTGGGTCCGTTGCAGCGATACTTTCCTTTGCCTTCGCGAACTCCGTTAACAACAGAGCCAGTGTAAACAGAGCCATCTTTCCATTGGATTGTTCCAACGCCGGTAAGAGCACCCCATTTGAATGTTCCTGTATATTGTGCACCTAATTCTGTCCACTTATATGTACCATTTCCATGAATAATTCCTTCTTTCATTTCGCCTTGATATTCATTTCCGCTGAAGAATACTATGTTGTTATCTGTGACAGTTTGTGCAAAACATTTTGTAACGGAGGAGCAAAATAGAAAACCAAATGGATTTTCTGTTGAATCCTCAGCCGAATTTTCTGATTGCTGGTCAGGAATATCCTCTGATTCATCTTCCTCCTCAACATGTTGAATTTCTTCTTGGTTTTCAGTATGCGTTTCTTGCTCTTCACTCATCTATAATAACGTATTGATGTCACTTTTATATTCTATGATTTAAAAACTCATCTTATTTAATTCAAAAAATCAATAATATTTCATGTAAAAACAACAAATTTATAAAAATTCACTAAAAACATTTTGAATTTGATTTTGAATTGTAAATTTATTGGACATGAATATGTTCAATATAATCTGTTTTATGTGTACAAAAAGATTTAAGTATAAAATTTAATGAATATATAAACGCATCAATTTTTATAATAATTTTATAATGCAAAAGAGGAAGTACGGTTATTTCTTTTTGTTCTTATTTTTGAAATATATTGTAAGGCCGACAATGAGGCCTACTGCAACAATAAATATAATAACAATAATTAAGATAGTATAGAGGCATCTTGAGCTAGCTTTCTGATGTTCTTGGGCAACATTGAGGCTCTTGTTACCCTCAACCATCTCTTCGTGAGCATCTTCAATTGTATTATCAACTCTAACGACAACTTCGTGTTGTTCATCTATCTTTTCCTTTAACATGGAAGCAGCTTCATCAAGAGCCTTCATATCTTCAACAATGTCTGCTGACTGGCGATTTATATACTCGACTTCTCTTGCTTCATCGTCAATAAGTGATTGCTGTAAAACATTGCCAGATGGAGGGGCGCCATGACTTGCTGCCTGTTGTTGAGCTTGTTGATCAAGAGTTTCGATTTGTCTTTCTGTGTCATGCTTTATATCATCGTACTCACCACTAAGGCGTTCATACTTATCCTGAACATCAGGAGCAGCATTAGCCATTAATGGAGCGATCTGAACCTGGAGGGAATTGAGGTCTTTAAGATGTTTCTTGATTGTTGCTCTCTTTGATGGATTGCTGATATTTGGTAACTCTTTCTTAACGCTGTTGAGACGTTTTTCGAAATTATTGACGAGTTGTTGAACGCTCTGAGGCTCAGCTGCTCTTTTCAAAGACATGTGAAGAGTGTTTTTTCCCTGATTGGAAAAACGTGACATTTCATATCAAATCTGACGAATTCGATGTTTTTATGTGAAATTATGTTATCATGCATCATAAAATTCTCATATCATTCAAAAAATAGATTTTATGTATGCATTTTACTTATGAAATCAAACACATTCATGTATCCTACCTTGTTTTTATCAACTTTGGGCATTTTCCAATGTGTTTACTGGAATTGTAATGTTATTTACAGTATATACAATATATAGCAACAAATCTAATTTGAATATTGGTATAATAATAAATGTATAGATGTGTGATCTATTGTGATGTCATACTATATGTAAAGAGAGTGATTTATTGCATAGCATCACTAAAACCTATTTAATATCAGAATTAATTTTCACTTTATATTGAAATAAGAAAGATATAACTTAAGATATGATTTGTAATAAAAAATAAACAAACAATATATTTATTACACAAAAAAAGATAAATTATGGATTTTGATCTTCATTTTCATCTTCAACTTGAACACGAGAATCATATTTGATTCTTCTATTATCTTTATTTACCTTCTCATTCATCAATCTCTCGAGAGAAGGTTTCGTATAATCAATCAAAACTTCGAAAACTAAAGGAGGAATAATTGCACAAACAACAGCAGCAAATAAAGTAAACCATCCTTCAACTTCACCAAACAAAGACATTAATGATGATTGTAATGTCTTATTAACAAGGAAACAATAAATAGAAGAAACACAATATAAAAGAATAAATTGCAAACAAAAAGCAGCAATAATACATCCATTATAGTTCTTTGTCCATATCATTAACTGCAAAGTAACAGTGTGAACAACAGCATAATATGTAATGCATCCATTTGCTTCAAATGTATTATTTCTCAATGAGAATCTAATTATAATATAATTAATTGCGGATTGATAGATGGCAAGCAACAAATAGTACAAAAGATGCTTGAATTCCATTGGATTGGATTGCAAACCATGTAACTCTGGATGTTTCTCGAGAACTTCCGCTGAAAGATTTTGTTCCCAAAATCCAAAAGCGAAAGGAGTGAGTAATGTGAAGACAAGGTTGAAACAGGAGATGAAGAACTCATTATAGAAGTTAGGTGGACTTGCTAATGTATCGCAAGCCGCCCAAATAACAACTAAAATAAATACAAAATTCTTATAAAGCATATAAACAGCAACAGTTGGGAATCTGACGTATGCCCATGTTCCATGTACAGATATCAGTCTCGTAAGATGTTTGAAACGAGGGATTGCGAAATCTGCAGATTGAGCTGCTTGAGAACCTTCTCTTCCGAAGACTCCGACACCTATATGTGCTTCTTGTATCATACCAACATCATTGGCACCATCGCCAATGGCCAAAGTCATTGTTCCTTGGCGTTCCTTCACCATTGATACAATTGTTGCTTTCATTATTGGAGAAACACGTGAGAAAATACAGCTCCTGCATTTAGTTGCTAACGACATGAACAAATCCCTGTTGTTTAATGCTAATGTCGTAGTTTCTGCAGTTAATACTAAAACAGGTTCGGTAAATTCATCGAAATTGGAGTTGTATTGATTGATCTGCTTTTTAAATTCTTCTTCATCGGGGTTGGAAAGCACTAATGTGTCTGCTCCTGGTAAAATAATTGATGAAGTCTTTCCAATTTCAATTGCTGTCTCCAATTTATCACCGGTAAGAACCCAAAGGGCAATATTAGCCTTTCTGAGCCACATAATGGCATCTTGAAGATTTGGCTGTAATTTGTCTTCTACAGCTGAAACTCCAACGACATCTAGCTTGCATTCAACATATTTTGCGGCCTTGGCGATTTCTTCATCGCGATTTTCGATCGTTGACTCTGCATAGTTCCAAATTTTTCTCCATTCTTGGGCTTCGCTATTTGTAAGGGTTCTTGTAGCGAAAACGAGTGTTCTGAAGCCAGCTAAAGCATATTTATTAACGTATTTGTCATATTTAACCTCGTTACATAAAGGATACATGATAGAATCAGCTCCTTTCGAATAAACAACTAATTCTTCGGATCCTTCTTTCTGTAATACGACTGTCATACGTTTTCTATCAGAATTAAATGGAATATGTGATAGAATCGTGTACTTTTCAACAGTTTTTGATCCATCAGGTTCTGTAACGTGGATTTCGATCGATGTTGGCTGGTGGTCGTTCAATGAAACACCACATTCATTCGCATATTTAACGAAAGAAGCTTCATCTGGTGATTCTGCGTTGTATTCGGTAATTCCACTCGGATTGTGATAAACAACGACATCATTACATAGCGCAAGACACTTAATGAACTTAAGGGATTTCTGGAGATTGTTTGGATCTGATTTAACTGATTCACTAAATTCATCAGATTTGTTTGCACCTGTTTCATCAACGAATCTGACCAATTGCATGATGTTTTCCGTTAGTGTACCTGTCTTATCTGACAATACATGGGTGATTTTGGCTAATGTTACTATCATATTCGAGTTATGTAACTCTGCATAACCAAATTCTTCGTAGAACATGCCGTAATCCCAATGAATGAGCAACATATGGAAAACTCTGATGATTTCGATTGTAACCATAAGGGAAATAGGAATCATGTAGCTTAATAAAATAAAGAATTGCATAAATGTTTTGATAAAAGCAAGTCCATATGAATCTCTGACCAAAGAAAGGAGTGCTGTTTTATGTTGCAATATCATATTGGCGATAGAAAGACTGATAACTAAAGTTAATTTCGAACAAAAGATGTAAATAATCATTTTGTTGATATCTCTATCAAATTTCGTCATTTTTGCAGGTGGCGATCTTCTATTCTTCATAATTGTGCAGTCATGACCTGTTCTTAATGCGACTCCAATGACATAATCAGTAAAATGCATAACACAACCACGAAGTAAGATGTTATGAATAGAGATACCCCACTTCTGGTCATCACAAACTAGTTTTGCGTCGAATTTGTAGAGATTTGCGCTTGGAGGACCAACATGAACGTAAAATTGTTTTCTGAAGAATGTCTTTGGTATTTCAAGGTTCTCAAACGCTGGATGTGGGCTCATTGTCTTAATTGCTGACTCGCCATTTAAGCTAGTCTCACTATAGTTTGTTGTATGATTTGGATTCGAAGATGTTAAATATAACATGTCACAAGGAACTGTATCACCTGCTTTAATCATAACAAGGTCGCCGACATGAATTTGATGCGATTCTACAGTAGTCCATTCGCCAAATCTGTAAATATTGACAGGACTCTTATTTCTCTTAATGTCTTGTCTGTACTTCAGGTAATCTTCGATTCCTAACTTAATCATTGAGACCAAAAGAACGAAAACTAAAGGTAAGAAGTTAAATATCCAACTCACAGGGGAATATGGGAGCGCTGACATGATCAAAACGAGAAGGAAGTAAATATTTGTAAGATTTCGGAAGTTCTCGTATAAAGTTAATGGAATAAAACTCCACCATTTGTATCTCGTTGTTCTGACGTAGTTATCTTGTTGGTCCGGGTAGTCCTGATAGTAAATAAAAGGAATAACAGCCCATGGGCCTTCGTTTTGCTCTTCATGAGGAGTATCACCCTCTGAAGTAGTCATATTCAAAATTTAATTCCAACGTTTATTTTTTGAAAATTTTTATATGATAAATATTTTGTTACGTAGTATTGATTAGTAAATTTAATAATTGAATGTGGGCGATCAAATAGAGGTAGGGCAACGATAGGTCAAAAAGGCTTCTCTGATAGATTTCCTTGCCTTTTGGATATGCTATAATATATAGCCTAGCATGATAGGATATGATGTCAAAAGTTAGAACATAACTTAGGATCTTGAGAAAAATGAAAAACAAAAATTACATAAAAAAAGAAAAATTTTATCTAATTTGTTTTTTTGGACCGAATAAGTAATTTTATTGAATTTCAATACGACACATAGATTTTATTATTAGTAATAAATATAATGGTTTACTATTAACAAGGAACCTAAACTAATGAAAATTTGATTTCAAATATTGTATATGATTATCATAGATTACCAAAATATATTGCTATTTATGAGGATATAATATTGATTATTAGTAAATTGTATAAATTTAATAAATATACCATGAATATTGAATGAATTTCTTGATTCATAGGGGTAAAACGCGCTTTTATATGATTTAGACAGAGAATTTATGAGATGTAAATAACACAATAAAGGTTTATATTGAATATTTTCTAAAAATAAATCGAAATTATAAAAAACAATACATTTATTCATTGAAACTACTTGGACAAATATGAAACAAGCATTCAGGCAATACTTTTGAGACTTCAACGCATCTGATAATTTTTATATAACTTCACCTCTTATGCTTAGAGTGGAGGTATTGAGATTGTATAAGTATAGATGAGCTCACATTCAGATATGATGTGTGAACTTCTGTTTTCACTGCAATTTTGAATCAGAATAAACTCAAAACAAGAATAAAATGATATACTCACTCTCTAAATGTGTTCGAGATTTAAAGTTGTATGAATAAAACGATTCATCTTTCGAAGCCTCCCATTTAATGAGAGACTTCGAAAGATGAATGTATTCATGTAGATGAAATACTATATATGACCATGTGTGATACTAAAGATATCAAAATGTTCATTTTTAAGTGCAATAGAAGGGTTATCTCTCGTAAAATCTCAATTTAAGGAAGATTTAGAAAGAACTCCTTTCCTAAGTAGATAGTGTGTGGTTTCTGTCTTTTGGTTGATCAGGAACTATGAAATTAAGTCGGACAGAAAGAAGTTCTTTCCAAAACAGACTCCAAATGAGTTGTTCGAAAAGAACTTCCTTCTGTATATGGATAATTGTAGTTACCGCACTGAAGTATGTGATTGTGATGATGGAGTTCTCGATAAATCTAAAATCGGATTAAGATTAATTGAAAACTCAAGTAATTCTTTGAAATCTTGTGTTGTCTGGCACTATAATAACCAAAGAATGAGAATATTATGTTGAATGATGAGTACGTGTGCTCGGCATTCGCCGAGCGAATTGAGTTTAACGTACTATGAAAAGTGACAAATTTGGGCTTTTTTTCCTAGGGTTATGATCTCTTCCTTTCTGCTCAATACGACAGAAATGAAAGAATGAATTTGTACTCCCTAATTGATTACTACAATCTGTATCTATCTTTAACATAGAATTAGCTGCATTGTGATTTATACTCCAGAATTATTCAATTTAAGATCAACCTCGTAAATTTTAATCATATTGCACCAATACTCCTACGTTGAGATAAGAACATGATTATACATACCAAAGCCCCATATTAAAAATCAAAATTTAGCACCTCCATTATGCAACCACATTATTCGTCGCAAATAAGTATATTTACGCATATTATGATGCATATTCACACAACTCGTATACATGAAAAGTTATTAAAATCAGACAAAATTATTGCAATAAGGAAAAAAAAACAACTTTATTATATATGTTAGTAATGAATTACAAATATTTCTACAAAGAATGCTCAATACTTCATATAATCTTCGAATATTTCTTATTACAAGTTAATACATTTTGACTCGAACATGATAAACAAAAGCTGACACGCTGATTACTACATTTATGAAAATATAGTACGTTTCCATTCATCTGTTTACTTGTTTTTGTTGGAATAAAATCATTTTTTTTTCTTTCATGAAATAAGAATTTTGCTGCGAAAGCAATATCTCTAACAATAATTAATACATTACGTCAACTCTGGAATGAGTATTTATCAAATATGATATCAAAATCAAAAATTAGTTGTTTTTTATGAGTAAAAACGATGTAAATTGATTATTTGACTAATTATCAAATACTTTGATTTTCCAAATTTTTTTCGAAATTGATTTTTTCATGTGAAAATTCAAATTGTTTAATTTCATTTTTGAAATTTTGAATTTTTTTTGGAATTTTGAGTTGATCAATTCAGCAGAATTGATAATGCTATTGCTTTAGGGCATACCACAAGGTGATGAATAAAAGGTGAACATTAACAAATTATTTTAAATCACAAATATCATCCTCATCAACTTTAATTCTAAAAAGAACTGTACTGAATTATGAAAATGCATGATTTACATTATTAAAATCTTTGAATGAAAATAGTACAAGATAAGTTTTTATTCATTTTTAATTAGATTTAAACGAAAAACTACTCCATATTAAAATTTAAGTCGAGAAATCGTATTTTGTTCTTATTTGTTAGCATTTTGTAGACATTCTAATCTTGAATTAATTTGTTACATGATATTATTAACAAATTTAACTGAAAAAATATGTTAATATGGAATAAACCATGATTATATAAGCTATCAATGCTATATATACATATGTAAAAGATTCATATTAACTCAATTAACAAAAATGATAGATTTTCATAAAGGTTCAATCTAGGTTCGTCCGAAAATTTTGATTTTTATATAGAAGACATAGTTTCATATACATAATTAAATTTTCAAACAAATTTGATCATACCATTTATTAAGCAGGATAGTATATTAATTACTATCAGTATAAAAATATAAAAATGATTATATTTAATTATTGCATAATTTAGTCAAAGAGTTATAAGCCTCAAGTGATCGTTATCACCTTCAATGCACGTATACTTTATTGATTCATAGATATTTAATCTATGTTTGACATGTTGTTGTCGTCATTCGTTTTGTTCCCATTCTTCCTAAGTTAGAATTAGAGAATACACCATCCACATCATCTAATTTGGTCCTCAGCGATAGATTGGTTCATTTTGGAGGAGTCCCATCAGACAGTTTTCGAGCACCAAATATCAAATTTTAATGTATACAAATCTTTAGTGATTTATCTCTTTTATGATGAGTAAAAGGTTTCTGCTCATCAACATTTGATTTCCGACATATATGATTTCTAATTGCAATTATTTACTTTCTTTTTATAATCTAACTCTGTGACTCATACCATAAATTAATTATTGGAAAGTGTCAATATGTTTGGCACAACGCATGGCGGAAGATACCAAACCATGCAGGGAATATGATACGTTTAAGATCTCCGAACTTTTTTTCCAAAAATTTTCTATCGTTGCCCTACCTCTGATCAAATTTCTTTAGAAAAATCTGTTCAAAATCAATTGTTCTGACCTGCAGATGTCAATTGTATTTTCCTAATTTTTAAGAAAGTTTGAGATAAATTTGAAACCATCCGATCATGATTGAGAAGAAATTTGAGAAATCTCAAAACCTGTTGAGTGTTCATGAAAAAAAATTCAAAATGATCGTTAAGCTTGACAATGTAATGAGAATGGAATATAAATTTTACTTCTCTATTTGTCAAACTCTATATTTGTTCAAGAACCTTTTGTTTGAACTCATAAAGAACAGTATAGAGCAAGCAGAAAACATTAAAGGCAGGCTGAGATGGGTTAGTACTTCAATTAAAAAAAAAATCAAAAGAATCGCGATATAATTTTATTAAAAAAGAAGTTGATTGAGAAGATAGATGTATTTTAAACATTTAGTATGAAAATAGCAAACAATAGTATAAATGTTAGTAGTTTCATGGTAAAAAAAATTAAAAATGTTGAAAACAAGTGAAGCAGACGCTTGGATCATAATACCTTGGATTTTTGTTGATTAAATCTGGTTAATTATTGATGAATTATCTAGTGTAACAAGTTATTTTCCAAATCCAAAATTATTTTCTTGAAAATGGACAACAAAAAGGTAAGCATGGGAACAATCATATTAGGTTATGTAATAGTCTGTATTAACTAATGTATTTGAGATGAATTAAATCGAGTTATGATTGCATTTTAAGAGCGTCAACAAGAGGTAATCTAATTGAAAGCCAAAATGGATGTAATTGTAGTTTATAGAAGAAATAAAGGATCGCAATTATTGGAAACATACTGATCGCTAAATCAAAAATTAATGTTGCAAAGATTTGATCGAATCTTGAGCGAATCCATCTTTCCACAATTGTCTTGCAGCCAGATCTATAAGAAAATGGACAATCTGTAATTGATCTATCTAAATAATCATTCCAGCCACAGCAATTCGATTCATATTGGAATGTTTGTGTGTGACTTGTATTAGTCCATTGAGAATTCCATACATCAATCCATGAATTAAGTCGCTTTGGTGACGTAAGGCCTATACCGATTATTAAATACGAGAGATTAAAGGAAATCCAGATCCATAAGTAGACCTGCGAGCGTGAATTTATCATTAAAAGTATAAACATGATAAATGAAACGCAAGATAGTCCTATTCCGAATGAAAAGACCACGACAAACGAAATTGGCTGGCTAACTACAACAAAATCTGCGCGGGACCAATGGATAACCATTGCGCTTGATGTTATCTGAACTGCTAAGCTGAAGACAACAACAAGGCATGTAAAGAATAAAGTTAAATATTGCATTAATATAAAATGGTTCAAAAATCAAAAATTTTAATGAAAAACGTATTAAATGCATGAGTTGCATCTATCTGCCAAATTGACCTAGAAAGTGACAACCGCCCTCACAAAATTATTGTGAGAAAATCCAAAATTTCATATCGCCAAATTTGGGAAAAATGCAAGTTAATCTCAAGTTTGTAATATCCCTTCTTGTCATGTACATTGGTTTCATGACACATTTCTACTATGATGAGAAGATTTTATCAAAGAAGAACCCATTAGGACCATTCCCACACGAATATAAAAATATTCTTCTCTGTTTCAACTTCTTCTTTGGCTGCATCACAGCTGCATCGATTCTTCTCGTCACAAGAGTTAAAATATTAAGAAACCCATTCCCATACTTAAAGGCATCAGTTCCTCACTTTTTGGCCGCATATTTTACCAACATTGCGAAGTACTACGCAGACTATGCCACACTCAATGTTGTTAAGTCAGCCAAGCCAATCGCTGTTATGCTCTGCTCAATCTTCCTTTTCCACAAGAAAGTCCCAACACGTCGCATCTTCGTCGTTATCTTCCTTTGCATTGGTTTAACAATCTTCGGATATACAGCCAACAACAAGGATGCTAACAACGCCCCCCTTGGCTACGGAGTCATCTCTCTTGCCCTTCTTTGCGAAGGAATTTACGGACCAATTGTAGATCAGTTGAACCATTCCTCCAAATCACCATATCTTACAATGTTCTACATGCAATCATTCAATCTAATCCTTTCTATTATCACAGGAATCAAGATTATCATTCCAGCATTAACATTCATCAAAAATCACCCAGAATACCTTCCACAGATCGCAATTTTCATTGTTACAAACCTTGTCGCTCAAGTTGGCCTCTTTACGTTCGTAAATCTCTCGAATGGCCTCATTTTGTCAATTGCAACAACAAGTCGCAAATTCTTTACTATCCTCCTATCTTCGATTGCTTTCAAGCATAACTTTACCGCATTACAATGGGTTGGAATTGTTATTGTCTTTTCTGCCCTTTCATTCGACATTTTCGGAAAGAAGCCAGAGAAGAAACCAACCGAAGAAGATAAGGAGAAACATGAGTAATCTAGTCATTCGTTTACCTTAGAATTTAAGTTAAAATTTCATGAATTATCATTTATTGAATAAATTATTATTTTGTTAATACTATATTTTTACGTAGAGAAGTAATCATAAGCATGATTTGTCTCTAAACATTAAAATTTCAAAATTTATTTCTAACAATTTAAAATTTCATTATTTCATTGAGTAAATTATAAAATATGCCTATAATGTTATTCATTTATAGATTTAAAAATTCAGAATTTTTCCAAATTTTTCTTGAAAATTAAAATTTAATTTTAAAATTCTAGAAATTTATTATAATTTTTTAATTTTTTAATTTTTTTTTGGAATTTTCAACAGTGTTCAATCATTAGCATTAGCCTAGTGTATGAGAAATCAACCATCAATGATCGAACATGAGAAAATATCGAATTTTATTTTGAAAATTTAATGGTATATCATAATAGACTAACGTTTAAACCGTTATATTTTCATCTTTTATGAACAACAACCCATTATATTTGAGGAATTGGGTATTAGATCTTATTATATTTTCTTATTTTTCTTTATTATCATTTCAAACATCTTGTTTTCTATAATCTTATAGTAGAAGAACACAATATTTAGTACAAAATATTATGATTACGCTAATAATTCAAAAATATAAAATTAAAAATAAACAAACAACGTTTAGTATACTACCATTTGATGGCGATTATATCAGCTTTAACAGATTGGCAGCCGCAAACGGGACAAACGAAAGTATCAGAAGTTACAACCTTATCCACACAATCAGCGCACAAAATGTGGCCACACTTACCCAAACAATGCGTGGCTTCCCTTTCACAGAGCGGACAACTGACAATTGCTCGGAGTTCGTTGTATATTTCGTCACTTCCTTGAATAATCATTTGTCCAGTTGTACTATTGACTCTTGATGGCTCCTTATTGATTATTTTATCCTTTTCTGCAATTTCTTGTTTCAAATTGTCAACATAATTTTGAAGATCGTCTCTTATTGACTTTAGCCATGTAATTGTGTCATTATATTGTGTATCATCTTCATTTACAACAATTGAATAAGGAATTGGAGGTTCAATTGTTGAAATTGTGTTAATACAGTTCATAATTCCTTCTTTTAGCTTCATTCTTCCTTCCATTGCCTCGTCAACAGCTTTAATGACAGCTTTGGACATATTAAACGCCCTTTCTCTGGTAACATTAAGCGCAGTTACGTCAGGAGGAGGAAGTGGAGTTGTATTCTTCAAAATAGTCAGCTGATACTCTTTATCTTTCAGTACTTTGGATATTTCCCGTTTGGCATCGGTAAATCTCTTCTTAATCTCTCCTAATTCGGTAATAATCGTATCTATTTCTCCAAGATGCTTGTTTTCAAAGCCGTTGGTGATAATATCGTTGAACAATGACTCCATTTTATGTTGCAACTCAATGTAATCAAGAATTGGCTGGATTCCTTGAGATAATGGAACATATTGAGATTTTCTAAGTAAATTATTGATGTATCTAATGGATCTAATCTTGTTATCAACAGCATTGACCTTGGCGGCTATAACAGGTAAGTAATTTGTTTGATTGTCTGATTCAACAAAATAATCATCGAGAGAAGTGGCCATGTCGTATAGTATCGATGCATTTTTGAGCATATTTGTTCTTGAAAGTACTGCTATGTCGTCATCGTGATTAATAATGCTTTCAAAAGACTTATTTTGCTTAATTAGTTGTTTTGAGAACTGATGGTTAAGAACAATATCACGTTCAGGGTATTTGTATATTATATTTCCCATCTGTATATCGTAATCTGTTTCATATTTCATTTCTATTAATTTTTCCAACATTTCTGAAGTAGAACTAAGTAAAATATTGGTATTCATGACAATTGAAGATTCATCATTAGGACGGATACGCTGGAGAAACCTTGAGATATAAATAGAATCAATTGGTTGGAAATCTGCTGAAAATAATCGTTTTTCGTACTCATGAGAGTAAATATTTGGAACAGGAGAATATTCGCGAGGTCCTGTCTTCTCAACATAAGCATCTACGGATTTTGGTTCGAAAGATGAAATATTGCCTTTTAATTCATCAAATGATGGAGCAAGTTCTCCAAATATACGTGTATATTCGTGAAATAAGTTTAAATTATAATGTAGTAAGGCAATCTGTTCACGTGTTTGCAAAATTTGTTTGTATAAAGATCGAAATTTATTTAAATCATTAGCTACGCGCTGAATGTCAGGATCATCGTTTGAGTATTGACTGAAGAATTGGACCATGAAGCGCCCACCATCAAATTGCGGCATATCTTGATTAATTAATTTAAAAATTGAAGTAACAAGGATACGGAGCTCTGAAATTGATTGATCTGACATTGTTTCAAGATCTTCTAAGCTATTGAGTAGATTCAGAGCTGAATCCAAGGAGCCCGCGAGGAGCTCCTGAAAGAACATAATTTTTTATTGGGGAGGTTTTTTGTGATATGGAAAAATGTTCGTTGCTCAATTATCTCACTATTGGATGGACTTTTATCGAGCGAAATTTTGGCTGTAAAGACAATTCTGATATTGGTAACATGGTGATAAGAACAAATAGTCAGTTTGCATGGTTTATGATGAGATAATTTCGATTTAAAAAAAAACATAAAAATTGATTTTAATGAGCGATTATATTTGAATATGCTCTCCTAATTTGAAGGAACTGGTTAAATCATGAATTGATCATGAATAATTTTTTTTTTCAAAATAACAATTATAATTTCATATTCATTATAAGTTGAAAATATATCATAAAGACTTTATGAATGATAAATTCCTAAAAAACAAGTTAGTTTTGTTTCTGAAAAAATAATAATAATAAAACCAATTTAGACCCAATAATTTTTGGCGGGATAATTGAGATGTTTAACAAAAACTGAAAGGTGTCATTATTATCTATGACCAACAAGCAACTGACCTAGTCTGGGTTACAATATTCGGTTCATCAAACCGCCAATTTGATGAATCAAGCCAAATTGTAACTGACCTAGTCTGGATTACAATATTCGGTTCATCAAACCGCCAATTTGATGAATCAAGCCAAATTGTAACAAAACCAGTTGTTGATTGCATGGTATCATTCATCGAACTGCCAATTTGATGAATTACATTTCTTAGTCATCAAAATATGTGTCATGTTGTAAACGAAAACGATAAAAACGGCTGACAGTAAAGTGACACTTTACATGGCAAAAATAGAGCCTTACTTTTGAGATACTTGAGATTGAAACTGAATTTATGAGGCGGTGATCTTGAATCACTACCTCATAAGGTTCAGTTTCATATCAAATTTGTTGCAATTTGTTATTCTTTTGCAATTATTTCTATAAGATTTTACATCTTAGCGGGGAATGTAGTTTGTTATCATGAATATATTATAAATATCTACACGATAACGAACATTCCTCGCCTAAATTGCTGAGAAACTTTGAGAAATGTCGAACAATTTCCTCAAAGTTTCTCAGATTTATATAGATCACTAGAGTCCCCTAGGCACTGATTCTGGTTCAGTACCTAGGAGGCTCTAGTTCTCTAACGAACTGATAAAATGTTTTTAAATTTTTGGATATTGCTACCTGTGAAGCACTGACTTCAAGTCAGTACCTCACAGGTAGCAATTACATTGAAAGATGGGAGAAACTTTGTCCGAATGTTAAACTATTCGGACAAAGTTTCTCCATTTGTAGTGGAGATGGAAGGCTTTGAGGTATATTATATTAATATATACCCCAAAGCCTTCCATCTCCACTTGAAAGTTCCAAAACTTTGGGTTAATAGTTTGCAATTAACCCAAAGTTTTGGAACTTTCTAGAAGGAATTGCAGGGTAAGAGGTACATATTCATACTATGTACCTCTTACCCTCCAATTCCTTCCTTAACATAAACAAATTTGGAGTTAATTGTTTGCAATTAACTCCGGGTTTGTTGACCTCCAAATGAAAATGAAAGGGTAAGAGGTATATAGTGACCCTATATGCCTCTTACCCTTTCATTCTCATTAATTATGGGAGAAACTTTGGCCGAATGTTAAATTATTCGACCAAAGTTTCTCCCATTTTTTGAAGGGATTGGAGGCTATGAGATACTGATGCAATGTCAGTACCTCATGGCCTCCAATTCCATCCTGAAACTGATCAAAGTGGACCTTACATGCATTTGAAATTTGCCATGTAAAGTCCACTTTTTGAGAGAGAGGATTTGACTGCGTCAAATTCTCTTTTTCGTTTACGAGAGTCATGTTACTATTCGTTAGGTTAAATTACTTTTAATGCCCATTCAAGGAAGTACATGTCAGTTACAGGGTTTATAGTTTTACTCGAATTGAGTAAACCTCTTGGAAGCAATTACCACAAGAGCCAAGACTTCTCGTTTACAGACTTTGAAAGCCAGGAAGGAGCCAGGTAACAATAATGGGCTCTCTTATGATATTTTGGGATATTTATCAACAATTTGAGTTTCTACCTATTGTCTTCAATGAGGATTTTTTAGGCCAGAAGTACAATACCTGTACAGTCTAACTACTAGGGCAATGTAGTCAAACTGTGCACGTATTGAACTTCTAAGGCTATTATTTATCTGCTATTGACATCATTCTTTTACATTACCGTCCTCTGGTCCTTAGAGGACCATAGATTCTGAAATTACTTGTGCAGAGCAAAGTTCTTCCGAGATCTCTCTATCCTTCGTAGATCTCGGAAAAACTTTGCCTTAAACTACTGCATTAATGTTTCCTAGTATTCAAAGAGCTATGAATTCTATAGTTGATCTTATAAGGTAGAGTTTTTCCTAACTTTCTCATTCGTTGAAAGGTTTTCAACAAAGCTATACCTTAAAAATCTGTGCTTGTTATATCTGATCATTTGTGTGTTAGGGGAGGTAAATTTATTCCACTAGAGCAAATTTTTTCCGAGGTTTCTCATCGAATGAGAAACCTCGGAACAACTCTTCAATAGTGTAATGAATTTGTGGTATTTGTCCTGCAAACAGCGAGAGAACTTGTCTGTAATTCGTTTATGATGAAGTTATCTGGATGTCTCTCAGATGAGGAAGGAAGTCCAGAAAACTTCACCATAAGTTAATACTTGTGTATTTCTATGACTCTCTTCACGTCAGAGAATGTAAATTTACTCGAATAGGGCAAAGTTCTGCTCAAGTTTCTCATTTGATGAGAAACCTCGGAAGAACTTTGCCCTAAGGTAATGTATATGTGATTGTTGGCCCGCAGAGAAACAAGGAATCTGTTTGTATTTCGTTTATGGTGAAGTTCTCGGATGTTCTCTCAAATTATATGGAAAATCAAGATAACTTCACCATAATTTGTTGTAGTTGTGATTCTCTGGCTCTTTGCCGGCCAGAAAACTAGAAAATAGTTTATAGTGGGAGTATGCTCGATGAATACCTACTCACTAAAAATATACGTTATTTTTTGTTTTCCTATGGGAAAATAGTTTTGATTTTTATACTATCGTATGCTTTGTTATTGCATGAATTGTCTATTTTCTTAATAAAAACTCATTTTTCCGTGTGATTCTGAATCAATGCATTCCAAAAAAGCGTTTTCCGCCTTTGAAACGTGAAAACACACATTGCATGAAGAATCAGAGAAGATTTTCTAACTCGAAGAATTCCAAAAAAAACCAATTATAGTTTTTTTATCGTGAAAAATTTACTTTTTAACTACGAAATTTTTAAAACGCGATTTTTTTGGAGATTTTTAGAAAATTCAAATATGATAGGCATGTGTTATTTTATGTGCTCTATGAGTTTATCAGCTTAATTTGGAGTTATTATCAAATTTCAATAAGTCTAAAAAATTGAAAGATAGAAAATCTTCTCTGATTCTTCATGCAATGTGTGTTTTCACGTTTCAAAGGCGGAAAACGCTTTTTTGGAATGCATTGATTCAGAATCACACGGAAAAATGAGTTTTTATTAAGAAAATAGACAATTCATGCAATAACAAAGCATACGATAGTATAAAAATCAAAACTATTTTCCCATAGGAAAACAAAAAATAACGTATATTTTTAGTGAGTAGGTATTCATCGAGCATACTCCCACTATAAACTATTTTCTAGTTTTCTGGCCGGCAAAGAGCCAGAGAATCACAACTACAACAAATTATGGTGAAGTTATCTTGATTTTCCATATAATTTGAGAGAACATCCGAGAACTTCACCATAAACGAAATACAAACAGATTCCTTGTTTCTCTGCGGGCCAACAATCACATATACATTACCTTAGGGCAAAGTTCTTCCGAGGTTTCTCATCAAATGAGAAACTTGAGCAGAACTTTGCCCTATTCGAGTAAATTTACATTCTCTGACGTGAAGAGAGTCATAGAAATACACAAGTATTAACTTATGGTGAAGTTTTCTGGACTTCCTTCCTCATCTGAGAGACATCCAGATAACTTCATCATAAACGAATTACAGACAAGTTCTCTCGCTGTTTGCAGGACAAATACCACAAATTCATTACACTATTGAAGAGTTGTTCCGAGGTTTCTCATTCGATGAGAAACCTCGGAAAAAATTTGCTCTAGTGGAATAAATTTACCTCCCCTAACACACAAATGATCAGATATAACAAGCACAGATTTTTAAGGTATAGCTTTGTTGAAAACCTTTCAAATAAAGAGAAATTTAAGGAGAAATTTGCCCGTTTGATGTATGGTGAGAAGCATATTTGAGAGTTTGGAGAGGCAAAGTGCAATCACCTATCAATATTGCACTTTGCTGTCAAAAGTTCTTCGCATCTCTTGAGGTGTGAGGAAGTTTCTCGACAGAGGAAACTTTCATATCGAATGTTGCCTCTGTCGAGATGTATGTGACAGGCAAAGTGCAATCACCTATCAATATTGCACTTTGCCTGTCAAAAGTTCTTCGCATCTCTTGAGGTGTGAGGAAGTTTCTCGACAGAGGAAACTTTCATATCGAATGTTGCCTCTGTCGAGATGTATGTGACAGGCAAAGTGCAATCACCTATCAATATTGCACTTTGCCTGTCAAAAGTTCTTCGCATCTCTTGAGGTGTGAGGAAGTTTCTCGACAGAGGAAACTTTCATATCGAATGTTGCCTCTGTCGAGATGTATGTGACAGGCAAAGTGCAATCACCTATCAATATTGCACTTTGCCTGTCAAAAGTTCTTCGCATCTCTTGAGGTGTGAGGAAGTTTCTCGACAGAGGAAACTTTCATATCGAATGTTGCCTCTGTCGAGATGTATGTGACAGGCAAAGTGCAATCACCTATCAATATTGCACTTTGCCTGTCAAAAGTTCTTCGCATCTCTTGAGGTGTGAGGAAGTTTCTCGACAGAGGAAACTTTCATATCGAATGTTGCCTCTGTCGAGATGTATGTGACAGGCAAAGTGCAATCACCTATCAATATTGCACTTTGCCTGTCAAAAGT